CTCAGAATTCTTAAGTCAAGCTTTTTGGCACCCCTCGGAGAATTACAGTTTCCGGTAATGCTCAAGAAAATAGTAATAGTCCATTTCAGATATTATGTAACGTAGAAATGATCACACCTAGGTGGACAGAGGTAATGCTATGGTGGCTAGCTCTGTCCTTGAGCTTTGCGTGTTGGTTTCCATTTGAAACAAATCTTTGCATATACAAATGATAATGGAACCCAATAATGGTCCTACTGGCCAATAGCTGATTTATGATCCATGGCAGGGCTTTTTTCCAGCTGGAACTTGCCAGAACTCGGTATCTGTGGATTGCCAAAACCTGTAACCCAATCAGTATTGTGCTTGTCCATATAACCCTACTTTGTAACTGTTGCTGCTTACCGCAGCTACTACTATGCCATAAGAGCCACTGTCCTGTAATATCACATATGGTATGTAATATCACATATGCTATGTACAGTTATTTATGGTTTTATATTATTTTTGCTGTAAAATGTGTGAGATCACGATATTGTATTTATTTGTATTACTTAGTGATGTATGGAAGCGAAAGCTGGACCATGAAGAAGGCTGATTGCCAAAGCATTGATGCTTTTGAATTATGGTGCTGGAGGAGACTCTTGAGAGTCCCATGGACTGCAAGAAGATCAAACCTATCCATTCTTAAGGAAATCAGCCCTGAGTGCACACTGGAAGGACAGATCCTGAAGCTGAGGCTCCAATACTTTGGCCACCTCATGAGAAGAGAAGACTCCCTGGAAAAGGCCCTGATGTTGGGAAAGATTGAGGGCACAAGGAGAAGGGGACGACAGAGGACGAGATTGTGAGATAGTGTTCTCGAAGCTACCAGCATGAGTTTGACCAAACTGTGGGAGGCAGTGGAAGACAGAAGTGCCTGGCGTGCTCTGGTCCATGGGGTCATGAAGAGTCGGACACGACTAAACAACAACAACAACGAAGCCCAGAACAGCGAAACAAGGCTAATATTCCAGAAATCCTTGTCTTAGACTCTGCGAAAGGATTCTGTAGAACTGTAACAACCTTTCGTGTAGATTGCTGGACTCTATGAACAGACAGGTGGAATAGACACTATTACACAGATGTACCTTATGCATGAACTGATTTGAGAATGATCTGATCCACTGGGTCTTCTGCTTTGTTCGTTTGTTGAACTTTATGAGTTACTTCCATTGAAATTTATGATTTGATACATGAATAGTATGCCTTATTTATCTAAGAACACAGCTGGTTATGTCTCATGTGTTTATTGAGTATTACGTGAGCATAGCTTTGTTTGTTGTTGATTTATGATCCACAGCAGGGCTTTTTTCTAGCTGGAACTGGCCAGAACTCAGTTCTGGCATCTCTCTGCTATTGCCATTAAAAGAGAACAAGAGAGGCATTCATGTTCCTGCACCTCTTTTTCTAGAAAAATAGTTATTGCCCACAAGGTCCTGTGCACACCCCCTTTTTGGGGGGGGAGGGGCTAGTTGTTCACCTAAATAAACATGACTATGTCCAAAATTATGATGAAGCTAAACGCATAAGAATGGGTTAGTTAATACATGGATCATCTTTTTACGATTATATTATTAAACCGTACATTTTGTTTCTAATTAATGATGTATATAGAGAGGTAAAAGGAAATGGCTTCTTTTCATCCAAAGCGCCCAATTATTATTATTTATTAAAATTGTATACCTCCCTGTAACCACAGGTCTCATGGGGTGGGAAGGAGCTTGGGTCAGTGGGGTAGAATGTACAAGGGGGCCCAGATCAATTAAGCTTTTGCAACTTTGTGTCTTGCTTAAAGTTTATTATAGTTGGCTTCCCTTCAGGTAGTTTTGTGACAGCTGTTGTAGATGATCACGTGCCTTATTTTGCACTTCCCAGTTCTTGGCTGTAGTCACAAAAGTCCAAAATTGTGTTTGCAGAATCTTTCCTTCTTTTCTCATTTTTCCAATCTTAAGATCAGGTCCGCACATTTCTACATCGTTGCATGAAAATTCACCAGCATTTTAGCGTGAATGTCTCCTTGAATATACATTTTTATGTGTAATTTTGCCTAACATACATATTTTTACAAAACAGTTTTTCCAAAGAGCATTCTTTTTTTATGGTATTTTCATCCATAAATGCATTTTCATGCATTCTTTGAACACATTACTTGGCTGGAGAACTGCATTGCAAAATCTGGAGAATTTTAAAGAATGGCTTTAAAATTCGTTTCCGAAAAGGTGAATTAGTTAAGTTCACCTTTAAATGCCATCTGAATCAAATCTCTTATGCATCCCGAGCTACATATGGCTAAAAACAATGACCTATTACACTGGGTATGATGCTCTAGCAAAGACTTTGTTTGCCACAAAAACATATTATGGATTAGGCTTTTCTTTTTGGGAGAGACAAAGGCTGTAAATATTATTTTCAAGGTTCAGACAAAAGGCAATTATTTTTTATTGAACTAGAGTAGGTCACATCCCCTAGGAATATTTATATACTTTAATACAAAACCATCACCTGCCTTTGTTTAAATATAACCGCAATACAATGTGGAAAGCTGTATCTTAAGGCACAGTAGGACTATATTCTTTGAGCAAATATTATTTCCTTGATAATGTCAGGGGAGCAGATTCCTTTCTCTGTGTACCTTTGTGTGTAGTCTAGAAAAAGCCATTTCCTTTCTTGGTGGCACTTTAACTGTATTGTTGTGTTTATATTATTATTATTAGTAGTAGTAGTAGTAAATTTGTATACCACCCTTCATCCATAGATCTCAGGGTGGTTCACAGTATAAAATACAGGATAAAAACACAAAATGCATTATGAAAACAAGAACAAACCAAACCCATAACCCATCCCCCAAACACATTGAAAAGCATATAGGGGCTGATGGGAGTTGCAGTCAAACAACATATGAGTTGTCACAATTCCCCACCCTTAGTTGTGTATTTTATTTATTTAGTTGTTGTTGTTGTTGTTGTTGTCGTTGTTACTATTATTATTATTATTATTCATCCAAATATCACATAGAAATGCAGAATGAAAACACATTTATTTTCCCCCAAAAAAGAGGTGTTGGAACTCACCATGAAAACCTCCCCAACTGAGAGGTGCCAGAACTGAGTTCTCGCTGGGGGGGAGCCCTGGAAATAGGCCAAAAAATAAAATAAAACAAAAATCCACCCCACTTTCCTTCCATCCACCTGCAGGAGTATGCAGTTCACAGACTTTTCCTCCACACAGTTTATCCATCAGTGGTTCTTGTTGTGAGGAGATACGTCCAGTTTCCAATTTCAATCTGTGCTCTGATTGCATGTAAAAGTCAAAGACAGCTTGGGGCTAATGGGAGTTGCAGTTGAAAACACCTGGAAGACATCAGGCTGGGGAAGGCTAGTCTTGAATATAGCAGAAGCTGCTGCATAATAAAAGATCTGGTTTTCTGGGCTTCCTCTGTGTTCTATTAATTTGATAATTTCTTCAGTCACTATCAATCAACTACCAACATGCTGGTTTGATGGCCTCTATTCTGGCCATCTGTTCCTGCCTTTACTTTAGCCAGTAGGTGATTTCATCATCTAAACCTAGAAAACAGACCTGCATCTTATAGATACTTTGTGGGTTGATGCTCTGGGACTATAAGCAGATGGCTGCATGCTTATGTGTACATCAAACAGATTATTTTCATGAATCCTTAACTGAGCACAATGGGGGGCATTATTTTTGTTCCAAGTCGTATGTCACATTTCAAGAATCAAAAAGTGGCGCATGAACCGGTTGACAACAGGAAAATTAATAGCAGCGAATTCCTTTCCTCTTGCTGTTTTAATAGGATTTAATAGCAATTAAGATGCCCTCAACTTTACATAAGAGGCTGAGGTAAAATAAATAAATAATAGAAACAAACAGGGCTTTTTAAAGAGCTTAGCAGTATTCATTTTTGTGTGTGAAGGCTGATTCACTTTAATATTTTTTATTTTATTTATTTTATAATATTTTTATTAATTTTAACATATAAATTATAAAATGTACCACAAAACTTATCACTTATACAATCTTTTTAGACTTCCATCAGCACCTCTGATGATCCACTGTTTTAACCACTTCTTATGCATTTCTTAACTTTATATTGCCTTTACATCTCTTAATAAATCATCCTCCCCCTTGTCCATTTTTACAATACTTCTAATAATACTCCTCACAAAACTTCTTGCAGCCCTACAAACGTTGTCTGTTCTTCACAATTACTTTTCAAATAGTCCGTAAATTTACTCCAGTCTTTTGTGAATTTCTGGTCTCGCCGGTTTTGAATCCTTCCTGTTAGTTTATCTAATTCTGCGTAGTCCATTAACTTCATCCTCCATTCTTCAATCGTCGGTAACACTTCTTGTTTCCATTTTTGGGCCAATAATATTCTTGCTGCTGTTATTGCATATGAAAAGAGCTTTCCTTTCTATTTATGTCACTCCCCACAATGCCCAATAAAAATGCTTCTGGTTTCTTTATAAATGTATATTTCAACATTTTTTTCAACTCATTATATATCATCTCCCAGAAGCATTTCACGATTCACTTTAATATTTTTAATAGTGTTGCGCATAGGCAGGGGCGTCTTGCCCCTAGAGGCAAGTGGCGCGGGGCGCCACGGCGCCAGGTTCTGGAGGGCACCAGGGAAGAGGCGGAGGATGGACGCGGTGCCTCGCCCGCCTCGCTGAAGCAGCACCGCGCCCGGAGCCTCCACCTCTTTCCCGCCAGAGGAGCCGCCCTCCAGCCGCTGCCCGCCTCCTCCAGCCCCACAAAGCTGCCAGCAGTGCTGTAAAAAAGGCTTTCAACTCTGGGAAACTGGGGTGGGGTGGGGGGGCACCGGAGGGATCTTTGCACCACGACGCCGGATATATTTAAGACGGCCCTGAGCACAGAGTTCACTTTCTGAAAGCTTTCTTCTGGCCTGATGTCAACCGGCTTCATGCTTTGCCCTTTGGTTAGAAAATATAAATAAAAGATACATATTTGAAAACCGATCCTGAGATTCAGAGTCTCATGCTCTAACAACTGAGCTATACCACTGAGAAATGGGCCACCTCCACAAATAAGAACACTTTGGAGGTCCTGAGCCTCAAGGAGGTTAGATTGGTCTCAACTAGGGCCAGGGCCTTTTCAGCACTGGCCCCAACGTGGTGGAACGCTCTGTCACAAGAGACTAGGGCCCTGCGGGACTTGACATCTTTTCGCAGGGCCTGCAAGACAGAGCTGGTCCGCCTGGCCTTTGGTTTGGACTCGGTCTGACCCTTATGCTTCCCTCCCTTTATGGTTTTGATCTATGGGCTACTTTAAAATGAGGCTGCATCTTAAATTGCATTTTAACCTGTATTTTAAATTGGTTCCCCCCTCTTTCCCCCCTATTACATTTTTACTGTGATTTTATTGGTGTTAGCTGCCCTGAGCCCGGCTCTGGCCAGGGAGGGCGGAGTATAAAGAAAATTATTATTATTATTATTATTATTATTATTATTATTATTATATCAATCATACTTAGCTCCAGGTCAGTTGCTTTACTCCATGAAGGGGTGGCACAGAGGGGGCAGGCAGGTAATGGGAGAATGGGTTGAAAATCCTTCCCCAAGCACCGTGGTCCTGATCCAAATATATACCTCTTCAGGTGCTTTTTGCAGCCATTTGAAGAGATGGTGGATTCAGTGACAGATTTCATTAATCTCAACTAGTTGGGCCCTTTCAGTATGGAAGAAAAAAAATCAGATTATTGGTGCTATTCATCAGGATGAAATGTCTCACTATGGAACATAGTTGTTGCTAAAAGAGCAATTAGGTTGGCAGCGCAATGAATGCACTATTTGCTGTACGCCATGTCCTCCATCAAACAAGGAGATATATTATCTTAATTCCTTTGAAATCAATGGGCTCCTAATGCTGCACTGAGCTGTGGCCATAATGTGGATTGGTTCTGCATCTAATGGCAATTACTGCAAAGCTTTGTCTTACTGCTGATACATCTGAAATGTCTGTAGAATCTTAGGACTGTCACAGTAGTGGACAGCATGGTGAGCCTCTGCTGGCGCTTTTGCACCGCACCTATCCACAGCCTTTGTCCTCCCAGTGGCGTCGCAAGGGGGGGCGGGGTGGTGGTGCACCCCAGGTGCCATGTCTGGGGGGGGGGTTGATAAGAAGGCAGTGGTGTAGCGTGGGGGGGCGGGGGGGCAGCCGCACCGGGCGCAACATCTGGGGGGGCGCTCGCACACTCGCAGCTCTCTGCCCCCTGCTAAAATCCACGGGTTAGGGGGCGCAAATTACTTGCCTTGCCCCGGGTGCTGACAACCCATGCTACGCCACTGCAAGAAGGCATCCCGCCGGGTGCTCGCCTTGCTGCCCCTGGGCGTGGCAGCACGAGCAGCCGTTGTGTGGGCGTAGCAGCACGGATGCAGCCGTGAGCAGAGGATCCCGCCACCGTCCGTACGGCGCTTGAGCAGTTCCGGTGGCAAACTGCTACGTACAATGCACCCGCGGTTTCACACGCATGCACTGTACATAGCCACGCCGCACATGCGCTGCACATAGAGGTTTGCCGCTGGCGCCGCTTGAGCGATGTACGGATGGCAGGGGGATCCCTCCACCGCCGCTACAGCCGCAAGCAGAGGATCCTGTCACCGTCCGTACAGTGCTTGAGCTGCATTGGTGGCAAAACACTATGTATGGCAGATGTGTGCCATATGTGCGACGCCACTACATACGGTGCATGCATTGTACATAGTGGCACCGCACATGCGCCCTATGTAGCGATGCCACACATACGTAGCGGCACCATGCATCATACGTAGCGGCACCATGCATGTGCAGCCAGCAGTTTGCCCCGCCCCTGGTGTCGTTCAGCCTTCGTTCACCCCTGCGTCCTCCTGCTCAGCATCAGAGGCTCAGAGGTTGGGGGGTCCAGGGAACAGTGCCATGGCCCTTCATGGCTGGCTTCCCTTGTGGAACCAAGCTGGCTGAAGCTATGGGAGAAGCAATAAGAAGCACCCTTGGGGTGGAATGTTCTGCACTCCCTCCATCAATGCTCCTGTGTATATATGTGTAAATAAAACCACAGTTGTTAAAGACACTGCAGTCTCCACTCTGCTTATTTGTTATTTTTTTATTTTGCAAAGAAAACACAAATCCCGGTTAAGTGCCAAAACCCTTGGAATCTTGCACCATTCAGCAGAGCTTGGAGTGGCCCTTAACACTCAATATATATAATAAAATGAATGTAATTTTGAGAAGTAACTGTAATCTTGCTCAGAGCATGAACTCAGAGGAAGCATTTTGTGGTATGAGTTGTGATTCTGGGCTGCTGTGTAGCTTTTCTGCAGTAAAAGTTGCGTTCGAGTTCTGAAACGTTTGAAAACCAAAAACTCAGTAGCCGACAGCTGGGCCTCAGGATCTTGCACTCAGCGGAAGCTGCATGGCACGTTTGACTTCCAAGGCATGTTCGAAAACTGAAGCATTTACTTCCGGGTTTACAGCGTTCAAAAACCGAAATGTTCGTCAATGGAGACGTTCGAAAACCGAGGTACCAATGTACCAATATTATTGCAGAAACACCCTGGCCTCTGCTTGCTTAAAAGTGTTTGGACTACAAATTGGATTTCGACTTCATTCGTTTTTGTTTTATAATACAATAAAAATATATGCAGAAAACACAGAAGAGTAAGATGCTTTGTGACTGTTTGCTCATCCTCCCCATATCTTCTGTTTTTCTCCTCTCCAAGTTGCTGGATTGGTAAGACAAAGAAAAAGTGTGTGTGAGAGAGGGAGGGAGGTAGTGTAAGCACAAAATTCTTCAGTAACTTTTTGCCTATTATTTTCTCCAAGATACCAAACCACCTATGGGCATTTGGTAGCATCATCTCATTAATTCAACTTAATCTTTTCAGCTCAGCTATTTTGGTTTCTGAATAAATGTAATGATTGCATAATTAAGGGGGTTTTCCTCAAAGTACAGATGCTCTTGTGATAATAAGAACTCAAGTTAACAACTATGCAAAATGTGAATTTCCTTGAATGTAGAATAAGAGGGAAAATCTCAAGGATCTGTTCTGGGTTATTTGTATATGAATTCCCCATGGCTAAAAACTAATATTTTGATCCTGTCTTTTTGCCTAGAATAGTTTTAGGTACTGTCATGATTCGAAATAGCAATATGCAGTATTTTATAACACAAAAGGGGTAATATGTTATGAAGTTGTTAAGACATGTAAGTTGTCTTAAATAAAAAGGGTGAGTGTATTTGTTTATTTCAAATACTTCAAAGCAATGGTCTCCATCAAACAGATGCATGAACCAACTGCCCAGCAACCTCATCAACTTCTATTTCATGCATGAAAAGGAAATTATGGGAACTATTACTAATGATAACTATAATAGGCTTAGATCTAATGATGTCACACTTTTCCTATGATCTAAATGCATCCCTACAGCATATATTGCTTCTTGTAGAAATAATATTTAGCAAACAGACCCTAAGAGGATGAGGTTATTAAATATAAATAGATAAATGAAGAGGTAAGAAATGAACAAGCTCGATGCGGGAACTGAGTCAAGCCCCTAAAACGTATCTGATCTGAAAATGCAAAACCAGGTGTACAGCACTGGCAGGTGAACAGTCCTGACCCCTCCTTTGGAAAATGAAGGCATCAATAGTTTTTTTAAAATATTTTTATTTTTTACCAACAACTAAAACACAAACAGTGAAACCCCCCAGGTGGCTGATACATTGGGTATACATAATCAATAATAACATATTCAAATCACCCATATGTACAATTTTATATACGTTAACACTCCTCCATCCACAAGGTTTATTTAACTTTTAACATTTTAATTGCCCCAAATTGTTCAAACCTACCCAGATAATTCAATATCTTCTCAAACCAATCCTCCTCTTTCTCACTGACCTTAAACCCTTTCATTCTGTGTATCTTCACAGTTAGATATTCTAAAATTATAATATTATTCAGTTTTTTCCTCCATTGGTTCACCCCTAACTCTTCTGCATTTTTCCAGTTACTCGCTATAACCTGTCTGGCTGCAGTTACCATCAATTTTACCCATTTACATTCCTCTTTTGTTTTTAACTCGGTGCTACTCAGACAAATAAGAACCATTAATTTAGATATTCCCACCTTCCTACCCACAATTCCCGATATTTCTATACCAATCTGTTTCCAATATTCATTAACTAACGGACAATCCCACCACATATGACTGTAAGTTCCCATAGTTGATTTGAAAGTGGTGAGAAATTACAACAGGCACCAGTCAAGCAATAAGCTGTGTATGAGTTAACAGGGTTTGCTTATGTGACGGTTGTTGCAGAGTGAGGGTCAAAGCTTGAAAGACCTGTTTCTCAGGTGCCATGAGATTCACAGCTCAGCCTCCCAGTCAGGTGTGTTCAAGAGGGAGTTGTGTGCAATCAGAGTGTTGCCATGTCAGCACAACATCTGGAAAAATTCACAAGGTCTCCCTAATTTGGGACGGTTTCCCTCACTGAGACTCTTCTTGGGTTAAAATATGGGATAGACCAGGCAAAGGCAAACTCGGCCCTCCAGATGTTTTGGGACCACAACTCCCATCATCCCTAGCTAACAGGACCAGTGGTCAGGGATGATGGGAGTTGTAGTCCCAAAACATCTGGAGGGCCGAGTTTGCCTAAGCCTGGGATAGACCCTTCCGTCAGATTTTTCAGATACTTTTCTGCCTTCGTGGCTGCTCTGCAACTTGCCTTATTCACTGTTTTTTTTGTCATCTCATTTCTTCTCGCTCGAGTGCTCCTGCAATGACATCTTGCCCACCTCTTTCCTTTTCTTTCCACTGACCCAAGTGACTTCAGACCTGTTGTTATTTTAGTTGCTCTGACAAAGCACTTTGGTGCTGGATATTTCCCTGACCCCTTACTTTGAACTTCACTCCACTTGACGTACGTGTGACAGGTGCATTGCGAAGCAGACACCTGCAACCCCCTGGAAAAACCTTTTAAGGGAGCAAAGGTCCTGCGTATCACAGAATGGCCTCAGAGGTCCAGAGGTTTTACAAACTGTTCTGCTAGTCAGTCTCTGCCTCTTATTCCCGCTTCTGCCTCTCACAACCTCCTTTTAAGGAACAGGAAGCTGGTCCTTTTGAGTGTGCAAAGCCTTTGCACAATCTAAAGTTTTAGAAACCCAGTGAAAATCTGCACCTTTCACCAGTTCCTGGAAGTGGAGAACATACAGCCAGGGAAAATAAAACTGTCAGACCAGTTTTGCTGTTAGGGAGAAGGCTAGAGATGTCATAGCATTCAAAATCCAGGTGTGTCCTGGAGATACTATTTGCAGCGAATGCAAATACATGGATGCAGGATCCTATGAGCCTGTGTAGGATCCCATGTAGGATCCCATGAGCCTGTGTAGGATCCCATGAGCCGATTTTCACCTTAAATGTGAGATCGTGAAACGTCATCTGTTTCTGCATGCTTTGGTCAGCAGTGGAATAGTTAACAACGTTTCATTTTAAAACAATCAGGAAGTAGGTCCTGTAAATCAATGGAAGGGACCGTTAGAACGCATCCTTCAATTGCTGCTGTTTCAGGTTCTCGGCAGAATCAATTATACATTGCTGCATGGGCTTACAGTTGGTTCTTGGTTGGTATATTATCTCTGTAACCACAGAAGCCACATGCTTTAACCCCTACCCTTTTAAAAGGAAGCTCATATTGCAGAGCATAAAATGAAAAATCTGAGTTCCCCAAGCTATTTGACCAATGGCAGTGCTTATTTCCCTCTACTGTTGATTTCAACTAAAGCTCAGAGTCTTCTCTGATAATCTTCAGAGCTATTCATATTCTGGGTCTCATACCCTTAGGCAAAGGATGTTTTCCTCATCCAGTTGTGCAGGGAAGTAGCTAATGTATCTCAAAGTGAGAGGCAGTTACTGGAAAGCAGAAAACCCGTAATTTCACCTTCTCTTTCACCTTCTTTACTGCAAGATATCGTAAACCAATGTCTCCGGCCTTTTTCATGTGTAATGTTTCAATCATCGAGACTGGGAGGCAAAAGCTCCACTGAAAGCTTGGGTGAAGCGTTTGTTGTGGCTTGCCTGAATTTCCCACGCATGGTACTAGCTTGGCATTTGAATTACGCAATGTCTGCATTCCTATGACACAGTGAGTCAGTACATCTGGCTGCTAACCAGAAGGTTGGTGGTTCGAGCCCACCTAGGGATGACTGCGGGCAGGAGGTTGGACTAAATGACCCTCAGAATTCTATACAGGAGTCTATGATTTCGCTAGATTCAATGCACTGCCGTACGCCTTGTTGCAGGGCAGATATGTGGGTAAACCGTACGTGGAACGAGTTTGCCCCTGCAGCGCATTAGAGGTAGAAACCGTCTCTCATGTCCTGCTACTATGCCGTTTTTACGGGGATACACATTCTGTTTTTATCAACCCTGTCATAAAGAAAATTCCAAGTGGGCCCAAACCTCAATGTTTAAAATCTCTGATAGAGGACAAGGATCCAGAGATCACGTTAAAGGTGACCAAATTTTGCGCAGTTGCCATAAAACTAAGGGAACAAGACTAAGACCTTAGAAGCAAATTATAGATAATATTGTGGAGATTAAGATTTAAACTAGGCTTCCTCAACCTCAGCCCTCCAGATGTTTTTGGCCTACAACTCCCATGTTCCCTAGCTAGCAGGACCAGTGGTCAGGGATGATGGGAACTGTAGTCTCAATTGACCATGGGCTGGTCAACCCCTCCCCTTACCCGGCCAACTCTCTCCTGGCAACGCCTCCCCAGCTGGGATTGGGTGACTGGCAGAGGTAGGCAGCTACTGCCAGGGTGTATGTGTGAATCCAGGCTGTACTGCCGGGAGCCGCTTGGGATTGGGGGGGACTGCACGCAAAAGGCGCCCCCATTTGATGTGGGGAGTGGACATTCCTGTATTTTTAGATATTGCAACCCTTTGTGTTATTTCACACCCCATGGCAGTCATTTTATGTTTAAGCACACCCTCACAGCACCCAGTTTATGAATAGTGCCAATGACACTTTTCAAAATCTCAGTCTGTCCGTTGGCCTAAAGAAGGTTAGCAACTGCAGATCTAGAAATTCTTCTGCCTGTTGTTTTCAAACATTCAGTGTATAAAACTTTCCACAAACACAGGTATCCATGAAGTTCCATCAACTCTTGGATTTTCTTTCCTTTCTTTATAAATTTGGGATTGTGCCCATCATTTAACGCACCTGAATGTTATTGAAATAAAATAGCATTTTTCCTTAAGCACACATTTAATTTAGCAACCGTGTTATATTTCTGGCATTTACACTGATTGCTGACTGAAACAAAAATTAACATTGCCTTTGTGCTCAATTCCGTGAGGTTTGTGTTCAGCTAAATTAAATGTTAGACAGGATTGACAGCTAATTTAAAGCTAACATTTCCTGGCTGACATACGTATCGGAGGCTAAGTTTGGAGACAACCTAATTAGTTCAAAAATATATGCAAAGCTAATAACTTCTTTGCCCCCAAAGAACTTCATACTTGGGACTTGTATAACATAGATTTAACAAGGACTTTTTGGGGGATTTACAAATGAAGCAACTGGCTGTAAAATGGATTGTATAACATTAATGTCCTGCCACAGCTTCTTAGATTTCATGAATCAAAAAGGATGTGTGGTAATTTTTCCCAGAAATGCTGGTCGTGCTTAAAACTCCATTCCAGCAGAGGGAAATGGGAGAAGGAAGCAAGTCACTTCACCAGCTCAGCTGAAAGACAAGCAGCTGTTTGGTTTCTCCCCTCCTCCTTGAACTTTTTCCATTCCAACTGGTCATTATAATAACTTTGTAACTAAAAACTCTTAGAATTTCCTTTTCTCCTCTCTCTTCCCTCCCAAACCATTTTTTCTGTGTACACTGGTACCTCGGTTTTCAAACAGCTTAGTTGTGTGTCAAGACCCCATCACGACCCCCTCATTGACGAATAAAACACCAGGACACAGATATTGTTGTTGTTGTTTAGTCGTTTAGCTATGTCCGACTCTTCATGACCCCATGGACCAGAGCACGCCAGGCACTTCTGTCCTCCACTGCCTCCCGCAGTTTGGTCAAACTCATGTTCGTAGCTTCGAGAATACTATCCAACCATCTCATCCTCTGTCGTCCCCTTCTCCTTCTGCCCTCCATCTTTCCCAACATCAGGGTCTTTTCCAAGGAGTCTTCTCTTCTCATGAGGTGGCCAAAGTATTGGAGCCTCAGCTTCACGATCTGTCCTTCCAGTGAGCACTCAGGGCTGATTTCCTTAAGAATGGATAGGTTTGATCTTCTTGCAGTCCATGGGACTCTCAAGAGTCTCCTCCAGCACCATAATTCAAAAGCATCAATTCTTTGGCGATCAGCCTTCTTTATGGTCCAGCTCTCACTTCCATACATCACTACTGGGAAAACCATAGCTTTTACTATACGGACGTTTGTTGGTAAGGTGATGTCTCCTACTTTTTAAGATGCTGTCTAGGTTTGTCAGTGATTTTCTCCCAACACAGATATTAGGTTAATGTTATTGGGCAAATTTTGGCCACAACTTTATTGGTTACAGAACGTGAGTGGTATTGGCTTAGGCATTGGGATTGACCCCACTATATCTGACTCCTGCCCATCACGCAGGGAGTCCGGTAAGGGTAAACCACTGCAAGGGGCCAACTCGAATTCCCCCAGGGCTCCCAACGGGGTCGTGGCATGGCCCTAGCCCCGCCCTGGGCTTCGGACAAGATCCACACCACCAACTCACGCCTCCATTTAAATGGGTCCTGGCCACGCCTCCCCAGCCAGCGGATTGGCTGGCTGGTTTATGATGTGGCCGTAATCCTCTGGGCACCACAGAAACAGCCCCCCACCCTTGGAGGGGAATGGGTAGCCAGGTGGGCCACCGCGACTCCTCCCCACATTTAAGTGGAGTGGATTTCCCGAACAACTCGGAACCCGAATGCTGCAGACCCAGAAGTAGTTGTTCCGGTTTTCAAACTTTGCCCCAGAAGCTGAACATGCTCCTGAGCTTCCATTTTTGCTGTTGTGCAGCTAATTTCAGTCCCTCACATAGTAATTAAGCTTTTTGTCCTCCCGCTTTCTGAGGTGATATTTGGTGCTTTTGTTTTTGCTATTTTTTGCATTTTTGTTTGTGTGGCTTTCTCATTTTTGTGACTGCGGCTTGTTTTACGTTTTATGACTGATTGATTGTGTGACTGTGGAGAAGGATAAAAGCCTCCCATCCAAACAATGACTATCATCAGTGCAGGAAAGAAAACAATTTAATTTCAATTTTTATCATCTACAATACTGTCTTATTTATTTTATAGTACAGAACATTGATTGTTGCTTTCATTTTATGGATCAGTGGTTTTGCTAGATAGTAAAATCCATGTTAAATTGCTGTTTTAGGGGTTGTTTTTAAAAGTCTGGAATGGATAAATCCGTTTTGCAATACTTTCTATGGGAAAGTATGCCTTGGTTTTGGAGTGCTTTGGTTTTAGAACGGACTTCCGGAACGGATTAAATTTGAGAACCAAGGTACCACTGCAGTGTCTTTTGGAAGGCAAGTCTGAAAGTAGAGACTTCCTTCTTATTGATCTTTGCAAGCCACTCTGGGAGCCATTCCATCAGAAGGTGGCAGGGGAGGGGGGTGGAGATTAAAGTAAATAAACAAATAAAATCTACAGTTGTACCTCAGGTTACAGATGCTTCAGGTTACAGACTCCGCTAACCCGGAAGTAGTACCTCGGGTTAAGAACTTTGCCCCAGGATGAGAACAGAAATCGTGTGCTGGCCGCGCGGAGGCAGTGGGAGGCCCCATTAGCTAAAGTGGTACCTCAGGTTAAGAACGGTTTCAGGTTAAGAACGGACCTCCAGAACAAATTAAGTTCTTAACCCGAGGTACCACTATACTAGGAGTTTCAAGCTGTGAGAGAATATTTGTACTTTTTCTCAAGCCTTAGTCATCTCAGTAGATTGGAATACTGGAAAATGATGATTATATGTCCGGATTATAACAGTAAAATACAATACGCATAGTTACTCTGCACAATTTGTTGCCATTGGAAGCCTGAACACCAAATTTGAGATAGCAAAGGAAATTTCCAACCATTGTATTTTATACATGTTAATCTTGAATCTCCCTGTGCTTAAGGCATTATTTTATGCAAAATGAAAATAATATTTTGTAATATTTTGTTTTAAAAAATTATAAATAATACAGGTTATTAGCTCCACAAAGTACTAATAAGTGTAACTACAGTCATGATGAGATAGTATATTCATTCACACTGCTCAGCCATTAACTTGAAGGCTTTACTTTTCCCTAAGAGCCAGAAAAGAATGGCTCTGGCATACATTTTTTGGAAAATATTTATATAATTTCAAAGCTATTGGTCACATTCAAATAAGTTTTGCTCACTGACGGAAATTAATGGGTCTAACTTAGTCATGGTCACTAATTTAATAGGGCTACTCTGCGTGAAGCATAGCTGAATTCCACCCTATGAATTTAAAATTCTAGAATTTAAAGGCTAGAAGAAAGATCCGGCTACTGTCATGTAATCTCAGTTCATGTTGGAAGATTTGTATGTAGAGAGATGCTCTTTGAAGATATTAGACCAAGAATACAAATTGTACCAACTTACGACACGGGTGGCGCTGTGGTCTAAACCACAGAACATAGGGCTTGCCAATCAGGTCGGCAGTTCGAATCCCCATGACAGAGTGAGCTCCCATTGCTCGGTCCCTGCTCCTGCCAACCTAGCAGTTTGAAAGCACATCAAAGTGCAAGTAGATAAATAGGTACTGCTCCAGCGGTAAGGTAAACGGCGTTTCCGTGCACTGCTCTGGTTTGACAGAAGTGGCTTAGTCATGCTGGCCACATGACCTAGAAGCTGTACGCCGGCTCCCTTGGCCAGTAAAGCGAGATGAGCACTGCAACCCCAGAGTCGTCCGCGACTGAACCTAATGGTCAGGGGTCCCTTTACCCTTTACCTTTTATGACTTGTAGGGGGATACTATCTTCTCCTTCAAAATGTTTCTTGGCTCACATGCCTAAGTTACCGTATTTTTCGCTCTATAAGATGCACCAGACCACAAGATGCACCTAGTTTTTGGAGGAGGAAAACAAGAAAAAAAAATTCTGAATCTCAAAAGCCAGAACAGCAAGAGGGATCGCTGCGCAGTGAAAGCAGCAATCCTTACTGCTGTTCTGGCTTCTGGGATAGCTGCACAGCCTGCATTCGCTCCATAAGACGCACACACATTTCCCCTTACTTTTTAGGAGGGAAAAAGTGAGTCTTATAGAGCAAAAAATACGGTATTTGTTCTGAAGACAAGCACACCTGTCACCTGTTCATTGCAACCATAGTCTGGATTACACAGATGGATCAGCAAAGTCTGCAGAGGAACAGATGCTTCTGCTGGGAATTGGAGAGCTTTTGGGTCTCCCCTAAAGTTATCATTGCATGATACTATTCTTTGAGAGTGATCTTATAACTGATGTCATGCAAGACATGCAAATGCCTGCAAAGCAGAATTTGCCTGATTATTTTGTGTGTGTGTGTGTGTGTGAACACACCTGCACACACTCACAATATCAGGCAAATTCTATTTTGCAGGCACAGTTTATATGGAGGAAGTGGATGCCCCTATGAGGATGTCATTGAACAGTGTCCTCTGACTAAATGTTCCCCTCATTTTGCTTGATAATTAAGTGCATTGCAAGAATCAGCAATGCTGTCTGAACAATGTAATTAAATGTTGGGTAATGCTGGTAACAAATAATGCATCTATAGACTGATTAACTGTTTATTGATTTGGCAATGCATTAGCTGCCATAAAGCTGTTCATTTGTCATGCATTATCTATTATTATTTTTAAAAAGCAATCTTTCAGCAGAGTTTCAATGTAAATTTAAACTTCCAGATTTCCTAACAAGTAATGATTAACAAAATTAATATTGCACCAAATTTTAGAGGGAAAATTTTCAGCATGAGAAGTGTTTTTTGTTTTTTTAATGGGGTCCAAAACATTATTCCAAAGAGTTTCAAAATCCCAATTTTTTGTTGCAAAATCCCAATTTTTTGTTGAAAAATCCCAATTTTTTGTTGCTTCTGCTTTGGGGCGTTATTTTAACTTCAAAGGGTATCATCCCAACAAAGCTGTCATCCGGTGGTCAGTCATATCTATATAACTGTACTTAGCTGAGGCCTGAACTGAACTGGGCAGATATGGAGCATCGCTTCAGGTCAAATGTATCCCATCCCTCAAATAAGAAAAGACTCAAAGCCTGATCTTTCCTCAGAAGATAGTCCCACTGAATTAAACGATCCATGTTCCCCGTTAAGTTTTTGCAAGATCACTGGTGTATATATGTGTAGCTTTAAGCACATCAGTACTTTTATAATTCATCTTTCCATAAGCAACACAATAAAGGAATGGATATGTTAAATGTCTTGAAGTATGAGCCAACATTTTAATTTAACTTTATGTTGGGACTTAACCAGGGCCGGATTTAGGTTTGATGAGGCCCTAAGCTACTGAAGGTAATGGAGCCCTTTATATGTCCAGCTGTCCTTTGACAACAACAAACTGTTGCTTTTTTGTGTGTTGAATATATGCTATATGGTAATTTATGGACCTAATAGGTATCTAAAGCCATTTGCACATAACAAAATATATATTTTATCAAAGTAATTGTTGAACTGAAATACGATTAAGAAGAAGTGTAATACTAGTGAAATACAATTAAGAAGAAGTATATTTTGGGGGGCCCCAAGAAAGCGGGGCCCTAAGCTATAGCTTGTTTAGCTTATACGTAAATCCGGCACTGGACTTAACCATAATGTGATCAAATCCTAGCCAAGAGAAAAAAATACCCAAGAGATTTTAAATCCCCCTAACTGCTTTTCCTAGGTATTTTGCCCACTATGGGCAAGGAACTAAGGCAAGACACTTGATGAGTTAGTACTCAGCAATCACATTTCCTTTGTCATCTTTGCTACTGAAAAAAGGACCTGTCATTTGACCAGGTTTGGGTTCTGTTTGGTTCTTGCTATCAAGAGACAATAGCTACCTCTTTTCAAACAAATGCAAGTAGAGAAGTTCTACAACTTGGATACTAATAGCAGAGATACTTGGATACTAATAGCACACCTCATTTGGCCCAGGAAGAATGAGAGAATAAATATGCTATCATGGTTCATCATACTATTGCAGGAATGGGAATATCCAGTGCTGGGAGATAAAGCGTGTTCTACTTCATGGAGAGCACGTGTTGCGGTGGGGGCCGCAAGGATACTCCAAAGTTGGGGGCGGGCTAATCGATCGTTGGCCACTGATGCGATTGGGGATTCCCTTGTTGTTGGGAAGAAGTTAATGTGGGCATTTGTTGATTGACAGCCAGAAATGCTAAAACTCCTTGTACGAGGCTAGGGCTTCCTCTTTTCGTCCGTGCATCGGATTGCCCGTCCCCCCCCCTCCCTAGAATTAGGGTTGTTCGCTTTGACCTTGCTATGCTTGTCATGGGGTCATCTGCTCTTGGGGCAGGGGCCCGGTAGGAATTTTGTCCACCTGGCTGATTGGCTGGGGCCATTTGGTTTTTGCCTACTGCATAGTAAATCATCACAACTTGTAAGGTTGCGGTTAGGCATTGGTTTATGGTTTGGTTGGTTGAGGGGCATGGATTGGCTGTGCCTGCCCCTCTAATGCTGCTGCTGCAAGGGATTCCGTTAAAGGAATTGGGGCCTAACTATTGCTTGTCCACTCTGTCAAGGAGGCTCGGGCCATAGCAATGAGCTCCTGGTTGCATTTGGGGTGAGGGCGGGTTCCCTGCTCCGTGTAACCCCCAAGTGTATTCCCCTATTCTGACTTTCGCATCATGCGGAATGTCAGTCTGTCCCCCGTGGTGGGGGCAGATAGTCGCAACCAATGCCTAAGCAACCACTCACAAATTTGTATTTCAATAAAGTTGTGGCCAAAATTATGCCAAAAATCTTAAACAAAAAATTCTGTGTGATGTGTGAGTTATTGGGGTGGCCCTGGGGACCTCGACACGCAAACCCCACTCAAGCTTGTGTGCTCAATTTCAAATGGACTGATGCACTATACAGAGAAATTGAAATGTAACTAAAATATCTGTTTTGGTTTTCATAGGTTGTGCATTTACAAGCAGCAGACCTGCCTTCCAAGAGCACTTTAACCTTTTCTGTGTTACAGTTATTCCCATTTCAGCATTACCTACTGGTTTATCCCTGACATACCTGAAGAAACACAATGTGACGGCACAGTGTTTTTTTTAGGTTCATTGTGTACATGCATATGTACATGATCCATGGTCCTATAAAACAATGGGCATTTATGCCCTGCTTGTAGAGCTACAGTGTTATGATCATTTTAAAAGAATATTCAGTGGGAATATAAGGAAAATCTTATTTTAATGTAAATGGACTGAAAAAACCACCAGGGCATTGAATATGCAATTGCTTTCTTGTTAATATGTTCTAATGTGAGGAACGTTTCAGTATTCAAATACCATTTAACATAGCACCAGTTTAATTAGCTATCATTTAACATTAATAAGGTCAGAATTTTTAACAGCAAATGTCTAATTAACTATTGAGGTTTTCATATTAATATGTTTTCAACTCATGCTGCTGCTGCTTAAAATTCCACACAAGAGGGATGTAAACCAATTTCCTATTTTGATCCATGTGGACCACAACATTAAAATAGAATGTCATGGTGACTGTGCAAGCCATTTGGTACTGCGCAAACAAATGTGTAGAATGCATGTCGTGGAAGAACACTGTCAGATGTGAAAGATTCCTGCCCCAAGTGTTGGCTCCATTTCAACACAGGGGCCATGAAATGAAGCTATATGTGCTGGTGTTGGAGCGGACCATGCAACAGACACATCAGTCAAACCATGTCACAAGCTACACTGCAGATTCTGACTCCTGGTGTACTTCAACATTGCCATGACTTGGTTTTAACGTTCAATCACATCAGCCACTTTAACAAGGGGTCATTTGCCATCACATCCATTAATGGCATCTATGTCATCACCAGGCAGCTATGTCTGTTTGCAGTCCCTATCATCCAAAAGGTCCTGAAATTTTCTTGCAGACGAAGTCTGGAGAAAACATGACTAAAAAATATTTGAAATTTGGTGACTAAAATCCTTTCAGAAATGGGGAAGTCATGGGAATGGGCAAAAGGATGGCTTTTACTGAGATGAATTCTGCCTCAAACTGGAATCTAGATCTCAAAACAAAAATTTAGTTCCTTGCCAGTTCTGTAATACGGCTACCATGGCCAGCTATAATGCACTAAGACTTCAAGGGGTTCAATATATAGTTTGGGACGATTTGCGCGTCAAGACTCCGACACCCCCCCCCCCAAGGATAAATAAATACACCCTGACACAGAACTTTAGTTTAAGGTTAATGGGTAAAAATTTAGACCACAACTTTATTGATTACAGCAATGTAAGTGGTATTGGTTTAGGCATTGGCAATAACTATATCTGACTCCTGCCTGCCTTGCAGGAAGTCTGGAATGCAAATAACCAAACAAGGGAGCTCCGTCAATGGCAACCAACTGAAGCACACCCCAGGGTTCCTGCTGGGTCCTGGCATGGTCCTAGCCTCCCAAGCAGACTTCGGACGAGATCCAGACCTGCAGATTCCTTTACTGGAATACCCTTGTACCTGGAAAGGCAGATGATGGCCGTACCTCCCCTCCCCCACATCACAATAAGCCAATGCCTAACCGCCAACCCTGACAAAAGTTGTGATGATTGCTAAGAGGTAGGTGAAAACCAAATGACCAGTGCCAATTTGCCAAATGGAAAAAATTCCTACCCAGCCCTTGTTCCAAAACAGGCGACCAACTGAAGTCCAGAGCAAGGCCAAAGCAGACACCTAAAATACAGGGCAGGTGCGTGGGTGTTTGGCGTCGTGAAGCCAGGTGAAGCCCCAGAAATGAACCGCCGGCTTTTATATTCCCCCACGATCACAACACCGATCTCTGACTGGCCAATAGGCCATGGTGTGATTGTGAGGCCATCTCGTGGGCCAGGGTCAATCTCCCACAGACGTGAATGATCATTTACAACGAAGGTAGTTATAAAAGAATTAAATACAGGGGGGGAAACATCAAGACATAATAATAAGAAAAAAGAAGATAAAAAAGAAGGAAAAAGAAAAGAAAAAAAGAGCCAAAAATTTATACAGATTCATATCCATCAAAGAAAAATTTATGCATGAAACTTCCAATCGTTCTCATTATACTGTTTATATAATCATGATTTTTATCGCACAGTTTTACATTATATCCTTTTTCATGTATTCCACTAAAATATTCATTTCATTCATTTTTGTTTACAGGTATCATTCCAGTTCTGCTAAGATGCTATTATTTTTACGATATAATCATATATATTCCTTAAATATTTCCCATTCTCCATATAGTCAATCCTATTCATACAATAGTATTGTGTAGCTTAGAATCACATCAGGATTCCCAAGAATATCACAAGGTAGCTCCAGAGCAAGGGCAATGGTTCCTGGGGGCCGAGGCACTACGTCCCCCATCTATTTTAGGGGGTGAGCCCCCCCCCGATATCCAGAGAGCCCTTTGTGTGACATCATTGGCCCCCCTCGATTGCCTAGAGAAGCTGGCTCCTCTGTTCCAGAGCTACCTTAGATAACCCCTTCTAGTTGGCCTGTGTAAGTATGTATGCCATTTTATAACTGCAAACAATAATGTATGTTCACGAAAACACCCCAATTCATGCAGTGAGAGAGGAGATGTAACTGACAAGCATTCCTGATTTGTATTTGGTGTTTTTATGTCTGAATATCACAACATTAATGCAGACATCACAGAATGAAGACAAATGCAAATATCAGCCCTAGGCACAGTCTGAAAACACGATATGTCTTTATGCCTTTCTTGCATGAAAACCACATAAAAAAATAAAATTAAATAGAGCCACGAGAAGGGCAAAGAAAAAATAAAATGGAAAACAGCATTTAAAATGTTTTGCAAAACAAAACAAAAAAGTGATTTTCAAAATAGTAATCATAGTTGCATTTCCATCTCTCAGCTAACTTTAAATTGATTATTTTTAAACTGGGGCAGGATGATTACTTATTGTCATTTTCAGCAAAAGTAAAGATACACATGTGTGTATCTACACTCTATGGAGTATTTCTTCTGCATGACAAACAAATGCTTATCTCAACAGTATTATAATGCAGAGACTTACCAATAAAGAGAGAGAGAGCACCATATGATGCTCATATTTATTTAGCGTGGTATCATTCTCTCTCTAGTTGAAACTGTTTAGCTAGCAAGGTGGACAGGAAAGGTTGGCTGAAAGAGAAGCCAAGGGGGATAAGGGACAAAGAGGATGGTGACCAGTTATAGCAAATAGGCAGGTGAGCAGCCACATCTATTATATCACTTCTTCTGTTTAATAAGGAATCACAGAAGTTAAAGAACAGAGTGAACCATCTAATATTGTGGATATGTGTTTCCTGCTTCACAGAGAAGCTGTTTTTAAATATCCCAGGAGAAGAAGTGAGGCAGCCATAAAACTCTAGGGAGAAATCTAAGATGTGCGTGTAGCCAGCCTTAGCCACAGATGGGTCATCCAACTATGATTTTTTTCCTCCCTCATGGATGTTTATTGCTACCCTATCATTTACCACGTACATCAGTGGGTGGATCTTGACGGAATGTATCTGTACTGAGTCGGTTTGTCCCTCTCCTCAGTCACTCTTCCCCAGTTCTGTATTTCCTCTTCCCATTTTGGGCATGCACATAGAAAATACTTAAGCTTGCACACCTTATTTTTTAAAAAATAAATAAGTTGTCACAAAAAGTCATTAATTTTAGTGGGCACATCTTCTAATGCAGAAATTTTCACATGTAATTTTGCCTAACTTATTTATGTATTCATTCATTTGATTTATTTATTGATTGATTGATATTCTGCCCTTCATCATAAAATCTCAGGGTGGTTCACAGAACTGCATAGGGACACAACCTCTGGTAATACAATTGTCCTTGACATTCATTCACATGCAACATTCACTTACTAAAACTATTCTCAAAATTCAAAGGGTGGTAGTTATAAATAATGTGATCTTTTATGTTCTACAGGCAAGAAGCTTTCTAGCAGAGGGTGGTTGTTTGCTTCCCCAAGGTATTTATGGACTATTGCTCCCCCCACCCAAATCCCTGCTGGGTGTGAAACATCCACAAACCTAAACACAAAATATGCCAAAACACAGCCAAGAAAGAATCAGAATAGGAAATGGGTTGATGTGGATTACTTGTGAGGTCACATTGCGTTCAAAACTTCAGGCACTTTTGTCCTCCATATGACTTCATGCCACACCATTTAAAATTCATGTATGGTACAACCTTCCTATCCACCCCCGGGAAAGATATAACACTCTGTTTTCATTTATACAGAATGCCCCACTAGTTCACATCCCAAATCCATACATTCACTGTCACTTACTACTAATTTGGTAAGAGAATCTTTTTGTATTTCCCATAAGTATCTAGTCTAGTGCTATAGCGAACTCTTTTTGCTCTCTGAATCCATTTCGATGGTATAAAAGATGAAGCGCCGGTGGCGGTTGACCCATTCTGAAGCTGACCGGACACAGGTTAGATCTCAATGTCGAGCCTACCAAGTGGCGGTAGTGACTTTCTTCACCGCCTCTATTGCATCTGCAGAAAACAGCAGCAGGAGACTTTTTCAGGTGGTCCACAATTTAGCGGAACCACCTGCTACATCGGGGCCCGGTACGGGCCACATGATCTCCTGCAATGATTTTGCAAAGTTTTTTGCAGATAAAGTCGCTCAGATTCGGGAAGAGGTAGACGCCACCATGGGAGCAGGGCCAGGGCGGGAGAGTGCTAGAGTCCTGTCTAGTCAAATTGCGTGGGATCAATTCCAATCTGTTACCTCCGAGGATGTGGACAGGCTGCTTGGACGAGTGAAACCAACCACCTGTCTCCTTGATCCTTGCCCATCCTGGCTTATAAAAGCTAGCCGGGAAGGGCTGGGCGATGGGCGATGGGCTCTGCGGGGTGGTGAATGCTTCCCTCCGTGAGGGAGCCTTCCCAGACCCGCTGAAAGAGGCGGTTATTAAACCGCTTCTTAAAAAACCATCTTTAGATGCGGCCACGATGGCCAGCTATCGCCCAGTCTCAAATCTTCCATTCTTGGGCAAGGTGATTGAGCGAGTGGTTGCTGAACAACTCCAGGCACTCCTGGAAGAAGCGGACCATTTGGATCCCTTCCAGTCGGGATTCAGGCCTCATCACGGGACTGAAACTGCCTTGGTCGCACTGGTTGATGATCTCCGGCGGGCTAGGGACAAAGGTGAGAGCTGTTTCCTAGTTCTGCTGGATCTCTCAGCGGCGTTTGATACCATCGACCATAACATCCTTCTGGACCATCTTGAGGGGCTGGGAGCTGGGGGCAATGTCATACAGTGGTTCCACTCCTTCCTCCTGGGCCGTGTTCAGAAAGTGGTGGTGGGGGATGAGTGTTCAGACCCCTGGGCCCTCACTTGTGGGGTGCCTCAGGGTTCTGTCCTCTCCCCCATGCTTTTCAACATCTACATGCAGCCGCTGGGAGAGATCATCAGGGGGTTTGGGCTGGGTGTTCATCAGTATGTGGATGATACCCAGCTCTACCTCTCTTTCAAATCAGAACCAGTGAAGGCGGTGACGATCCTGTGTGAGTGTCTGGAGGCGGTTGGAGGATGGATGGCAGCTAACAGATTGAGATTGAATCCTGACAAGACAGAAGTACTGTTTCTGGGGGACAGGAGGCGGGCAGGTGTGGAGGATTCCCTGGTCCTGAATGGGGTAACTGTGCCCCTGAAGGACCAGGTGTGCAGCCTGGGAGTCATTTTGGACTCACAGCTGTCCATGGAGGCACAGATTAAATCTGTGTCCAGGGCAGCTGTGTACCAGCTCCATCTGGTACGCAGGCTGAGACCCTATCTGCCTGCGGACTGCCTCGCCAGAGTGGTGCATGCTCTGGTTATCTCCCGCTTGGACTACTGCAATGTGCTCTACGTGGGGCTACCTTTGAAGGTGACCCAGAAATCCAGAACGCAGCAGCCAGACTGGTGACTGGGAGCGGCCGCCGAGACCATATAACACTGGTCTTGAAAGACCTACATTGGCTCCCAGTACGTTTCCGAGCACAATTCAAAGTGTTGGTGCTGACCTTTAAAGCCCTAAACGGCCTCGGTCCAGTATACCTGAAGGAGCGTCTTCACCCCCATCGTTCTACCCGGACACTGAGGTCCAGCACCGAGGGCCTTCTGGCAGTTCCCTCACTGCGAGAAGCCAAGTTACAGGGAACCAGGCAGAGGGCCTTCTTGGTAGTGGCGCCCTCCCTGTGGAACGCCCTCCCACCAGATGTCAAAGAGAACAACAACTACCAGACTTTTAGAAGACATCTGAAGGCAGCCCTGTTTCGGGAAGCTTTTAATGTTTGATGTATCACAGTATTTTAATATTCTTTTGGAAGCCGCCCAGAGTGGCTGGGTATACCCAGCCAGATGGGTGGGGTATAAATAAATTATTATTATTATATCATTATTATTATTATATGCATTGTGTGTGTGGCCCTTGGATAGCAAAAGGCATAAATTAGCTGGACCAGAACGTAAGTTGACCCTCCCTGTGCCCCCCATACCTACAAAGGGGCATTGGAGACCAGGAGCAGCTGGTGGGGTACAGTGGCTCTGTTCCCTTGGACCTGGCTTTGCTATTTACCAGGACGAGGCAGGTTGATGAGGAGGTCCAGATGGTGCAGGGGTGCCAGATTGACTCCACTGGTGCACCTGTACCATCCTGACATCACCACTGCTCTGACCCCAAACAGTCCACGTATTTGCCAGTGAGGTCAAGGCCCAGAAACTTCACTCCTGGAGACAAAGGGCCAGTAGTCCAAGTAGGACTTTGAATAAACCCAATAACTAGATGTTGATGTAATAGTAGGACTCTATTACCAAAACACCTTTGGAGAACATCTAATTGCCAAGACTGGTTCAAGGGCCTACCAAGATGACAAGAAGTGAATAGGTGGGTGAAGAGTGCCATGTCAGAAGAAACTGTCTCCTGGGTGAAGAATGGTCTATTGGCATTCCGTGTCCAGGGCAGCTGTCTACCAGCTCCACCTGGTACGCAGGCTGAGACCTTATCTGCCTGCAGACTGTCTTGCCAGAGTGGTGCATGCTCTACTTATCTCCCGCTTGGACTGCAATGCGCTCTACGTGGGGCTACCTTTGAAGGTGACTTGGAAACTAATCCAGAATGTGGCAGCTAGACTGGTGACTGGGAGTGGCTGCTGAGACCATATAACACCAGTCCTGAAAGATCTTCATTGGCTCCCAGTACGTTTCTGAGCACAACTCAAAGTGTTGGTGCTGACCTTTAAAGCCCTAAACGGCCTTGGTCCTGTATACCTGAAGGAGTGTTTCCACCCGCATCATCTACCCCGGACACTGAGATCCAGCACTGAGGGCCTTCTGGTGGTTCCCTCGCTGCGAGAAGTGGGGTTACAGGGAACCAGGCAGAGGGTCTTCTTGGTAGTGGTGCCTGCCCTGTGGAACGCCCTCCCAGCAGATGTCAAGGCAATAAACAACTATTTTACTTTTAAAAGACACCTGAAGGCGGCCCTGTTTAGGGATGTTTTTATTGTCTGACGCTGTATTGTTTCTGATATTTGGTTGGAAGCCGCACAGAGTGGCTGGGGAGACCCAGTCAGATGGGTGGGGTATAAATAATAAATTATTATTATTATTATTATTGACACGAGCCCTTTTCAGTGATTCCTCCATGTATAACAGATGGAGGGCAGAGTGGGACAGCACACACCATGCTGGCCTCGCCTCCAACTACCACACATTGGATAGGGACATCTGCCTACAAAGCCTGTAAGTAGCTGTTAACATACAGGGGCTTATCCACACGTTTCTTTGCCCCACCTCTTTTCCATGGGGAAACCTGTGGTTTAGCACTGACCTGGAACAGACAGCAGTTGGGTTTTCTGTGGGTTGCCATTTGTTTCAATTTACTGCTAAAGAGTGGGTATTCCAGGAGAAAGTCAGTTTGCATTTCTTAGTGCAGAAAGTATTGATATGATGTGTAGAGATCTTTCCTCTTCTACTTGATTCAAGAGGGTTCTGGAAGCTTCTCTGTGTGAAAAAAAACAAGCAGAAGGTTCATGATGTTTGGGTTATTCCTTCAGAGAAGCTGAGCACAGCTGGCTTCAACTGGTTCTCTTATCTCTTCTGTCAAGGTCATGCTGACTATAAAAGTAAGGCCAGAAGGAGCCTGGGTGTCACGTTCTCTTTCTATCTCTCTTCCTTCAGGTGTGGTGTTCTGTACATAGTATGCTTAGTGTTAAAGTTTAGTCTTATTATAAGTTATTGTAAGTTTAAGGTAAGTCTGTTACAACAGTTGTTATGGACTCTGCCAATCCTGAAAGTATGGGATTTGTGACCATTATGCTCATTTGTCTTCAGTAGCAGTAAAGCTCTGCTGGATGAAATACAATTGCCTCTGGTCTATTTTGGGGGCTCCTGCAACGTGTTTAAGTTTGTATGCTGTTAACTATACATTGGAATCTGCTCTGGATCAATATTGAGTAGAATTCCATGACAGAATGTGGCAGGGCAAAGGGCAAATCCCTTGGAGCCATGCCTAGAAAGCATGGAACAAGTGGAAAACCACTCGGACCTGTGCTTTCTAGGTACAGGACAAGTGGAAATCTGAACGGGCCCCTCCCTCTGCAGATTTCTACTCTCAGTGGGTGGATGTCAGGATGGTGCAGCCTTCAAATATGATGATAGTGCCAAGAGATCCTTTTTCCATATGCCAGTTCAACATATGGAAGGGTATATGGAAAGGCGGCCTATAGAATGAGGGGAAGAGAGGAATACGTTGCTGGGAGTGTGACTGGAAATGAGTTGCCAAAGTGCAGGGCAAGCCCAGTTGTACCTTGTTGGCCATTCTGGGTAACCCAGTTCTAGATTTGGCCTTGCAGAGGCTGGAGGACACAAAGGTTTGATAGAAATGGAAGGAGAAGAAATGACAGTGGGGAGTAGAAGTTAAAGAAACCGGACTATGCTTCTGGTTGGATTGCTGTTTAAAATCATCCACCATGTGTATCTTTTACCATATGTGGTGGACTTGCAAAGAGGTAGAGGCTTTTTGGGAAATGATATACAATGAATTAAAGAAAATGTTTAAAAGCACTTTTGTTAAAAAACCGGAAGACTTTTTACTGGATGTAGTAGGTGGAGAGATACCAAAAAAAGATAAAAGACTGTTCATGTATGCAACAACAATAGCAAGAACTCCAACATTAGTAGGGTTATCTGAAGACTTGTAATGAGAATTGTTTTTACCTTTCTATATTTTTTTAAACTGTGAGGTATTTTGTAATGAGTTATATTAGAACTGGAAAATATATAAAATGCTGTGATATAAAGGTTAGTTTTGAAAGCCAAGAGGTGGGAGGGAAGGAAGTTGGCAGGCTCTAAGGAGCTGAAGAAGTAAAGTGGATAATAATGATGTGATTATATATGCTTAAATGGAAAATTAATAAAAATTATTTATTAAAAAAAATCATCCACCATGTGAAGGAAGATACTGCACACAGCACACAGTAATATGCAAAATAACACAGCAATCTTATGCAGGTCTGTTCAGAGGTAAGGTCCATTCAGTTAAATATGGCTTACTGTGCTGGCATTCTATACCCATTTACCTAGGAATTAGTCCAATTAAACTGATTGGGCTTGCATCTAAGATGTATAGGACTGCACTGTTTAATCAAACTGGATTAAAATCCCATTTCTCTTCAATGTGAGGGGAATTAAAGGAATTTTTGTAAGGTTGAATACTCAACATGAAATTTTTATGGAGAAACAGGATTGGCTTGGTGAATATTTTATAAGCAACACATCTGGGCAATTCTGAGAATTCAAATCAATTGCCTCTTAGGAGGAAATATATGTAACAATGTTCTTAGTACCATGGCCTACTGAGAAAGGAAGAAACTCTGTTAATCATAGATGAGCAAATAAAAGGAAAAAAAATTATACCTCTCAAGTTGTGTATATTACCTGCCTGGAGTTTTTATACAGATACATAATTGGATTTCCATTCCAAACAAACAAGGTATGCTAAAATAAGTCATGGGGTTACAATGGTAATGATATTCTTGTGAAAAAAATGTGTAGGATGGAGGTGTCATTTAATGGACTGAAATTTCACAGAAGCAATAGATTATATGGAGGTAAAATATACTGGACATTCATCTCAGACATTCACTGTATAAATATGTTTGAGTTCTGTTCCCATGAGTTTCTTAGCATGCAGGTTTAATGATTTATTTATTTATTCTGTACAACACCCCTGGATAGTATATATCTCGAATCAAAATTAGGGACGGCAGAAACAAAACCACTAAAAGAAATTTCCTGATGATTTAAATGATGGTTGAGTCTTTACATTTTCCTTTAAATTCCTTTATAAATATAAATAACACATGGGAATAGGGAGGTGCAAACCTGTCATCTTTTCCGGTCTTAAATTCAGTTCTCCACATCAGTTTGTCCTCATGACAATTACTCAGTATTCTTATGCAAATCCCTCCTAACATACAGAAGTTTGTATGAAGGTTTGAAGGTGACTCGTAAACTACTACTAATGCGGCAGCTAGACTGGTGACTGGGAGTGGCCGCCGGAACCATATAACACCGGTTCTAAAGTGTTATGTACTGAAGTTCTCACCCTGGGCCAGCAGGGGGATACTGTAGATAGTTTTCACTCAGGTCCACATATGCAAATAAGGGATTGAAAGTGACATTCAGTGATTGGATAGTTACAGAAAGTGTTGCAGTTGCGTTGTAGTGGAGCTCCATATAAGCAGGCTGGCTGAACCCTTCAGTTCAGTTCTGTTCTGGCCTGTGAATAAAAAAGATCTGTTTGAAGACTTGCTGTGTCGTCTGATATGTTCACCCACAACTTAACATAAAGGATCTTCACTGACTCCCAGTACATTTGTTGGTGCTGACCTTTAAAGCCCTTAAACCAGGCTTCCTCAACCTTGGACCTTCATATGTTTTGAGACTACAATTCCCATCATCCCTGACCACTGGTCCTGCTAGCTAGGGATCATGGGAGTTGTAGGCCAAAAACATCTGGAGGGCCGAGGTTGAGGAAGCCTGCCCTAAACAGCCACGGCCCAGTATACCTGAAAGAGCATCTCCACTGAGTTCCTCCCCTGAGGGCCTTCTGGCGGTTTCCTCCCTGTGAGGAGTGAAGTTACAGGGAACCAGGCAGAGGGCCTTCTTGGTAGTGGCACCCTCCCTGAGGAATGCCCTCCTTTCAGATGTGAAGGTGATAAAGAACTACATATCTTTTAGAAGACATCTGAAGTCAGCCCTGTATTGGAACGTTTTTAACGTTTGTTGTTTTACTATGCTGTATGCACACGTTTCGCTTCACTTAAACAACCACCTCTGATAGAATATGGAAGATCCAGACTCCCAGCAGTGAAGGTTGGGTAGCCGCCACTATGGGTTCCTCTATGTTTTATCAGAAGCAGTTAGAGAACAGCTGGAGAGGGGGTGAGTTCAGTACCAAAGATTCCCATGCAAAAACAGAAGCTTTTGGATCACATCTGGTGATGTTGCATTGCATCTGAGGGGTCAATGTTGGCTATTTGCAGATTAGCTGCGCTGCAGAAAGCGTGCTGGGGAGACCACACATTACAAGGAACGCAAATAAATTTTTGCTAGGTTTTAATAACAAAAACAAAAACTCCTTTTACATTAATTATAATATATCAATAAGCATGACCCATCCCCCAGGGTACTGAGAGAGCTAGGTGCTGCTCTTTATATACACTATGCTATACTGCTTCACAGCTGTAAAACTAGGTCACGTTATTTGCTCTGGCCTTTAAAGAAATACACATCTTGTGGAACAACAATGAACCTTCAAATTTAAAGAGACCACTCAGCAGTGAAGTGGTTACAGCCACTCAGGATGGGGAGAAGTATTTGAAAGGAGACAAACCAGGAGAGATTATTTGAATTGTTTCAACTGTGCAGTGGCTTGCCTAGAAGCCTTCTGCCCCACTAAAACGCAGAAATCTTCAAGGGATGTCAGGTCCGTCCCCCGCCCCCCCAGAGACAGAAACTCTGTGCTTTTAACACCTTCAGAATGAACAGAAATCGGATTTCCAGTTGAGGCTGGGAACTAAAGAAAACTAGTTTACCTTGCCGCTTCTTTGCCTTTAACAGAAACCAGCAGGAGAAAATATTCTCAGCATGGAGATAAACATTATTATTTTATCTGCACAACTGGATGCTCTTAAAGGTGCAGCTGCAGGAGCTGGTTGAAATGTTGGCATCATGGCAGGTGCAGCTTTGCCCAACTGCCCCTCCATAGTGTCAGTGTGTCGGGATTCACAGAATGCTGTGTAAGATAATAAGTCTGCAGGCTTGAGTTTGCTAGTTGATGCAACAGGCTGATGCAATACTGTCTATAGAGGTGCTGGGTCAGAACGACTCAGCAGTAATGTGCTGACAGTTGATTGGCTGTCATCGGTTTAAAAGGGAAACCTGTCCAGCAGTAAGGTGATGGTGTAGAGGAGTGTGGTCAGAGAGAAAGAGTCTTCCCTATTTGCCTTAAGGTGCAGCCAGGTACTCTGTCTGACTGTATGAACTGCTTCTGTAGATATTTGTATATATAAAGGTAAAGGGACCCCTGACTATTAGGTCCAGTCATGACCGACTCTGGGGTTGCGGCACTCATCTCGCTTTATTGGCCGAGGGAGCCGGCGTACAGCTTCCGGGTCATGTGGCCAGCATGACTAAGCTGCTTCTGGCGAACCAGAGCAGCGCACAGAAATGCCGTTTATCTTCCTGCCAGAGCGATACCTATTTATCTACTTGCACTTTGACGTGCTTTCAAACTGCTAGGTGGGCAGGAGCAGGGACTGAGCAACAGGAGCTCACCCCGTCGTGAGGATTCGAACCGCTGACCTCCTGATTGGCAAGTCCTAAGCTCTGTGGTTTAACCCACAGCGCCACCCGCTTCCCATTTGTATATATAGCTCACAATAAATAATACTGCACTGAAGAACCTGGAACTGCTAAAGCGCCACGGCTGGTGCCCATGGGACTGGCAGGGTGGAAGTCAGGGAGCCCAAAATCCATATCAGGGCAATCAAAATGTCTCAAGCTGGATGGTAAATGGAACAAGGAGTGGTGAGGAAAAACCTTGACTGTAGATGATGCCTTCTTGGAGCCAGCAATTGGTCATAGTCTTAAGGTAGAATATGGGAAGAGGTAGCAGATCTTCAGGTCAGGCCCTGTTAGATGCTGTTCAGGTTTCGGCTTGCACCAAAGGCTAATGAGAAGAAAGACAACGGTTGAAAATTCATGCCAGCATCTTTAGACATCTAAAATCCAGGTGCTACCAGGCCTCTTTTTAGCTTTAGGTTGGGTGTGAGGAATCTTTGGTCCTCCAGATGTTGCTAACCTACAACTCCCGTCACCCTTGACCATACGTGTAAGCGGCTCCTCTCCTCTCCCGCTTTGCTCCTTTAAAGCAAGCAGGCTCTGCTTCTCTTCCCCCCCCCCCCAGCGAGCTGAAAATCTTTCCTGCTATTTCCAGCAAAGCGGGAGGAGAGAGATACAGAGAGCCTGCTTGCTTTAAAGGAGCCAACCGGACAGGAGCCGCTTACACTCATGTAAGCGGCTCCTCTCCTCTCCCACTTTACTCCTTTAAAGAAGCAGGCACTCTGTCCCTCTCTCCTTCCCATTCAGCGGCTCTTCTCCCGCTGGAAACCATGGAGGAGGGAAGCATTCGCTCCATAACACACACAGACATTTCCCCTTACTTTCTAGGAGGAAAAAAATGCGTGTTATGGGGCGAAAACTACGGTATTGGCTGGTGTGGATTTTTGAATCTGTCGCTTATGCAGCTCACAGAGTCACAGAGACTCTGTGGATAGAAAAGATGACACCAGGCCTCCTGTGAGGGCAGAAGATGGAAGGGATTAGGTGGGTCTTCTTCGCAGTCCTTCCGAGACTGCAGAGGATGTCCCACCCCACCTCAGAGTTAATTAAGCAGACTCAGCTTGAAGAAGTGAGCTGGAAGCCATTACTCTCTTGTTCATATGAGCAGCTGTGCTGTGCCTCATAAAGTGCCTGTGGATATGCTCAGCTTAGCTATTCAAACACGATTATGTAGGGTTGGAGCCATTTGAAGAACGAAGGGCAGAAAGGCACCTAATAAGAGAGGCCTTTCCAGAGTTCACAAACCAAGCTGGAAATTGCTGCATGCCGTCGAGAAAATTAAGCCCTATATTATTCTACACCAGCTGGTGGCAGTGTCAAGTCATATTTGGTTCCCCCTATAATTTCCCTATTTCGCTTAGTGGATTAAAAAAGAGAAGAATAGAACTCCGAAGTCTTTTAACAGTTGGTAGGATGGGCAGAGCTTTGTTTGAGGTAAAGCTGCCCAGCTCAGCTTGAAACCTCTCCTCAGTATTGGAGCTCAGCACTGGAATTTGGGGGAATTGGCAGAGAGAGCCCTTCAGCGTGTGAATGTTGGTGTATTTTCAGGGAATGCAAAATACTTGGTTCTCTGTGGGAGGAAAAGCCACTTGGTCCATAATCCTATGCCCACTTATCTAGAAGCAAGATCCATTGAGCTAATTGGAACTTGCTTCTGAACAGACACACATGAGATTGTGTTGCTAGGCAGTGATCTGAAGCAGGAAAATGCCAAGCAGGAAAAGATTACCCAAGAATGTAATAGGAGCCAAGAGCCAATCGAGTCCAGCACCCAGCTCTCACCAAGCAGATGCGCACGGGAAACCCACAATATTCAACATTCTCTTCTCTGATCTCAACTGCCTTCTTTCTGAAATTAGGGCTGCCGTACGTCTGGAATTTCCTGGACATAAATGCGATTCGTTTGCAAAAAATGGCATCAGGGTGGAATTTTAGAAAAGCAGCTATAATGTCCAAGAAAACCTGTCCACATGGCAGCCCATATCGGAAGTGTTGAAATTTTTTTTTGGCAATTTTACAGAAAGATAGTTTAAAAACTGCAATTTTTAAAGGAGATTTTTCAAGATTCCCCCCCCCCCACTTTTTGAAATATGGCAACCCTACTGAAATGGCTTTTCTAGTTACAAAAGAGCAGTTGGACTGCTGCTATATGAATTTACTTGCAATGCCTAGCCATTCTTATTCCTTCCAAATAAGTAACATGGTTCATGTAGTTCTTCTGCTTTTGAAACAGGGCCTGAAAAACATAATCACTCTCTTGGACATTGCTAGTTTGCTGATATTTTGAAACAGGTCACATACACACCATACATTTAAAGTACTCTTCTGCAAAGAATCCTGGGAACTGTAGTTTGTTTAGATTGCTAACCTTACAGACATACAATTCCTGGGACCTTTAACAAACTACAGTTGCCACAATTGCCTGTGGCTGTAAAGGTGGTAAAGTAAAGGTAAAGGGACCCCTGACCATTAGGTCCAGTTGTGGCCAACTCTGGGGTTGCTGCGCTCATCTCGCTTTACAGGCCGAGGGAGCCGGTGTACAGCTTCTGGGTCATGTGGCCAGCATGACTAAGCCGCTTCTGGCGAACCAGAGCAGCGCACAGAAACACCATTTACCTTCCCGCTGGAGCGGTACCTATCTATCTACTTGCACTTTGACATGCTTTCAAACTGCTAGGTGGGCAGGAGCAGGGACCGAGCAACGGGAGCTCACCCCGTCATGGGGATTCGAACTGCAGACCTTCTGATTGGCAAGTCCTAGGCTCTGCAGTTTAACCCACAGCGCCACCCGCGTCCCTGTAAAGGTGGTATAAGAGTCCTTTAAATGTATGTTGTGCTTGTGACCTTAGTGACCCTCTCTCTTTCCCCTTTGTTTCCTTATTTACATTTCCTCATGAATCTCTGTATTTAAATTCTAGGCCTGTGAGCTGAGTGTTTTGCCTTCCCCCACCCAATCCTTTGTATCATACAGCACACTGGGCTTTTTAAAAAATACACTTCATAAATAAAAATCTATTTTTGTTATTGTTATGCATTGAGGGGAGGGGAACCTTCAAGCTTTCGATGCAAACATGACAAAGCTGTTTGTTTCCACACCAGCGTGTTTTAATGTGAACCTGGCAACTATAAATTGAAAATGCAAGTGTAACAGACATGTAGTTTTACAGGGCAAAATGGGGATACGGCTGCATCTGTTGATGTGAGTTGCAGTGGGAGCGATGCAAGTGTCCACGTCAACATTATTGCCATCAAAAGTAATTGGCTTCATTTTTGGCAGTACAAATACGTGAAGCAGAACTTGATCAGGGACCCGGGTGGAATGCCATCCCTTAGTCCCTCGAAAGTTAGCACTTGTAAATGGTGATCAGCATGGGTAAACTTCTGTTGCTGTTGTCTGGATGTGTTCTCTACTGTGAATAAAAGGGAGAGCTTTACGTTTTCAGTCTTCTCTGTTATCTCAAAATCCTTGGCGGGCCCTGAATTCCCTCAAAGTAATTATAAAGCAGAACAAGGACAGAACAGATGTCAGACATTTGAAGGAATAACTCCATTGAATAGTCACAGCGGCGTCGGTGTCTGCTCTTAGTGGAGGGATGGTGGCGAGGGTATATGAAAATACTTGATTTTCCAGGGTTGTTGTAGAACATGAATTTTTGTTTTGAAGTATAATTAAAAATACAAACAGCACGCAACAGTATAAGATCAACTTCTTTTCTTTGTGCTATTGTTGTTGAAGTTGATTCACGTGTTTGTGCACATACGTCACACCACATTTGGCTCAAATCCATCAGCTTTCCCATATCTGAGAATGAGGGAGGCTCTTCCATTTTCTTGTAGCTTCTAAAATCTCTAGAACACGGGTAGGCAAACTAAGGCCCGGGGGCCGGATCCTGCCCAATCGCCTTCTCAATCTGACCCGCGGACTATCCGGGAATCAGCATGTTTTTACATGAGTAGAATGTGTCCTTTTATTTAAAATGCATCTCTGGGTTATTTGTGGGGCATAGGAATTATTTCATATCCCCCCCCCCAAAAAAATATAATCTAGCCCCCCACAAGGTCTGAGGAACAGTGGACCAGCCCCCTGCTGAAAAAGTTTGCTGACCCCTGCTCTAGAACATCAAATACTGCGTTGAAGGCAAGGCTAGTTTTAGATACCAACAGTTCCTTTTCTGAACCATCATTCTGAATCATGGATAAGGCAAGCAAAGGAAGATGGGAAGTTGCCTTATAGTGAGCAAGACCATTGATCCATTTGGCTGAGTATTGTCTATTCAGACTCTCCAGGGTTTCAGGCCAGAGTCCTTCCCAATTTTACTTAGCATTGCTGGGGATTAAACCTGAGACAATCTTTCCCCAAAAGAAGGGTGAGGTTTCAGGGTACATGTTCCTGAGGCTGGCTCCAAATGTGCAAATGATGGTTTTCAGGGAGACAGTTTTATATCTGCAGCAGACTTTGGAGAACACAAAAGAATGCAGTGGACCTTCTTTATAAGAGCTATACTGTAACTCCCTTAGTTCTGATTTGTTTGACATTTGCCCATCAGTTTGTGCCTCTTCTGTGCCTTGTTCTTGTTACTTGACTTAGCCAGTTTCCATTCCATGTTCCTGCCTCATTTCAGATAATTGGCCAGTTCCACCACCATTTGATCTGATCTTCTAGCTATCCAGGCACACCCCTTGATTCTAAGCATGCTAAGAGCCTAAGAAGATCCCTGCTGAATCAGACCAAAGACCTCTCCAGTCCAATATATGATGTTCTTACAGCAGCTAACCAGATGCTTTCTGAAGGCTTGCAACAGCACTCTCCACACAAGTAATTCACAGTAACGGGTATTCAGAGGCACACTGCCTCCGGCAGAGGAGATACAATATAAGCACCGTGACTAGTTGAGCAATTCTGAGCTTCATCCTCAGTGAATTTGTCTAATCCTGTTTTAAACCAATCCAAGTTGGTACATTTTCTGGGGGCGAATTCCATATCTTTACCATGTGTTTTGTAACAAAGTGCTTCCTTTTGTCTGTCCTGAATATTCCCATTTGCAGCTTCCTCAGGTGATCCTGAATTCCAGTATTTGTGTGTGTGTGTGTGTGTGTGAGAGAGAGAGAGCGAGACACCATGTCCCTGTTACTCACCTTATTTTCTAAGTTTAAAAGCCCCATAAATGTTCGTGAAAGTCATATAAGATCAATGCAATATTCTTCCAAGCTCATATAGCAGAATTAATCCCTGATCCTTGGCCATATCTATTAGACCCAGGCTCTGCCCGTGCAGAGCTTGTCTGAGGCTCAGGGCAGGAGTCTTGTTAGAATAAATTTAGAAACTCAAAGGGCTTAGCTCTCTGAGGCTCAGGAAAAGGGTACACGACTGCTCCCTGCTCCTCATGGGCCTCCTTACACCTCAGACTCTGAAGTAATTCCTGACTGTTAAAGTGGCAGTTCCAATGCAACTGGCTTGAGGATGAGTTAAAATAGAAGAGCTGATTCATCTCCAGTTGGTGACTGAAATCCCATCTTTTTGAAGACAGTGGCTATCAATCTTTCAGTTTGCTGACCCCCCTGCCTTGTTGGCCCTGTGCCTCTGAGCTCTGTACTGTCTCATGAATGCCAGAAGCCAGACCCTCACTGACCCATTCATGCTGGTGTGTCTCCTTGTTTACTCAAGTCCTGTCAATACCAAGATTTCTCTATACTAATGATATTGTGGAGTAAACGGTAGCCTCCGGCTGCATTATAGCAGAACCCTCTATTCTGGCCTGGCAGGAAACAAGAAAGAGACAGGGATATATAAAGATTACATTAAAAGCATTACATAATAAAAAAGGGGGGGATGTCATTGATTATTTTGATTGATAATTTGTTTTGTTAAAATTGTTAAATAAAAATATATTTTAAAAAAGCATTACATACCGTAATTTGTTTCCCTTTTCATACAATTTTTTTAAAAAAAGAAAATTGATGTTAAGATAAGAGCAGCAAAATAAATGTTTGTACAGAATTACAGGGGGGCGGGGTTGACTGATGATGTTTGTTTGTTTTTAGTTTCACATTTCTGATGTAAAAGGAAAGTATCCACAGCCTTAAGAAATCCTTAACACACGTGATTTTTTTAAACCTTTCTTTTAAGAATTTTTAATGCACCTTTCTGGGCACCTAGACAAATAAGAATACATAATAATTAGACAAATCATAAAATTATCATATCCCTTAATAAAAGTTCAGAAAAAATAGCACATAAGCTCACTACATACTGAAAAACAATGCTTTTCAGAATTTTTTCATGAGCTAGTAATGATAAAAACCAGTAATAGATATTTCCCAAGGAGTTGAGATCCAAAGTTGTGGGGCCACCATTGAAAAGTCCCTGTCCCTGTTTCTTACCAATCCGATAGCTCTTATCAGCAGGTAAGAGTTCAATTCTATACATGATTACTCAGAAGTAAGTTCATTGAATTCAATGAGTCCTTCCCCAAAATAAGTGGATATAGATAGGATTGCATCCTAAGATGTGGATTTATAACAGGGGTAAGAAACCTGCTGCTCTTCAGATGTTGCTGGACTGCAATTCACATCATCCCTGTTCTGTTTTCTGTTTTTTGTCCTGCCCAAAAGGATTTTGTTAGAAAAAGGTAGGTAACCATGTTGGTCTGACGCAGTTGAAATAAAATAAAAATAAAAATTGTCCAGTAGTGCCTTAGAGACAAACTAAGTTTGTTCTGGGTATAAGCTTTTGTGTGCATGCATGTAATCTTATACCCAGAACAAACTTAGTTGTTCTCTAAGGTGCTACTGGACAATTTTTTAATTTGTTAGAAAAAGTGTTTGCTTGTCATCTGTAGCACAACTTATGCAAACTTAGGCTATGTGACAGCAGTGAATGGAATAACAATGTTGGCACACTGTAAAAGCACAGTTATCGTATGAGGGATCACAGTCAGTTGAACAATACTGTCTGATCAGACCATTTTCTCTTTACCATAAAGTGAAGGAAGAAATATATATATCATGCCTGCCAATAAACTAAGGTTAGCAGATTGATATGCCAGCTCATACTTCATAACGCTTCACACTTTGCCTCTTGCAACCTAGAACCAATTACCTTGTTATCAAAAGTGGTAGAAATTAGTTTTGCAGTGGGTGACAGTATTGGAAAGACACATGTGACAATCATGAGGCTTTTTGTCAGCTGAGTTTAATGCCTTGTCATTAAAAGTGAAAGTCACTTTTGATTTTTTGAAAATCGTTCACTTGCGTCAACAGAGAGTAATCTAGGAAGCTAATAAAGGGAAAGGGGAAGCTTGCCAAGACTACTGTCTGCTTCATAGGACAGCTATTAAGTCTGATGGTGAGTTAATTAGTTTGGGTAGAATGTATTAAACAAAACACACACAAAAGGCTGAGTTTTCTGAAGTCTCCCGACAAACCAGAAAAGAAGAGTGTGTAAAGCCGGTCAAAGGCAAGTGGAAGCTGTGAAACTTTGTTGTTGTTGAATTGTCCTCCCCTGCCTATTATTTTTGCCAAGTCCCGTTAGAAGTTCAGACTTCCTTTTTACCCCGCAGTGCACCTGCTGCATTCCTTAATTTGTTTGTTTGGTACATTCATTTCTCATCTTTTCCCCCTCATGGGTCTGCAGGTACGGGGTCTCAATATGATCTGCTTTCCAGGCACTGACTGAACCCAGCAAGGTACTGTAGCTTCAGGAAGGTAGTAGCATCATATACGCTGAGCATACATACATTTGCTTGTTAGGAATTCCAACCAATTTTGGTGCATCTCTAGATGCCCAATTCAGGCACTGACCTCCTTGTGTTGTGAGGCAACAGAAAAGGAGGGGCAGGACAGGGCATGATAGTCTTGCATCAACATCCATGTTCCCACCAGTTACAGCTTCAGACCATCTTGAGTTAAGCATAAGAACTGAGTGTTGAATCTTTTCAAGTTTGGCTGAATGCCCTCAGAATCTTTCATGCAAACCTTGTGTGATCTGGGTTGCTGGTTGTGAAGAGCATATTCAGTTGCATGCAGGAATATTCCCCCTTGAGATGTTCCCACTCAAGGCACAAAGACTGGGGTGGAATGAGCAAGGATGAGGATGATGGGATGGGGCTAGCACTCACAGCCCTGCTCCTTCCCACAATGGAGATAAACACCTGAACAGGGCTTAGGGAATGAAAAATCACAAAGAAAGGTTTGGGGAGATCCCATTTATCTACATGCATCCCATGTAGTGATTCTGTACAACATCAATGGGGGACACCACCTGGTTTAAAAATTACTGATGCTGAGACTGAATCAGAAACAAGTCAAGAGCTATTAATCATGCCAACTTTATTATTTATGTGTCATTAATTATTGTAGACTAAGGGTGGCCTGCTGCTAGATTTTGTGCTTTCATGAACCTAAGTGACACCATCTCTTGCTGATGATCATAGTTTCCTATCATTGGAACTTCAAAAGACAAAGCTAATTAGCTTTCCTTCCTACTAATTCTGTTGTCCTCTGAGACAACTCCAAATGTGTTTCTGCTTGCTGGAACAAGACTAGGCATGTCGCTCCATATTAAGACCAGGAGCCAGATTCATTTATCTGTGTGTCCAAGCCTGAAAGATTTGATGACTATTTCTTATGTTTAGCAAAGAACTCATATTTATAACTCTTTTTTCTGCAAAATTGTACATTTTGATGATAAACACACTTTTAGGAGATAAATGATGCATATATCTAGATATTTATTTTGAAACATGCAGCAAAATAGTTGAAGAGTTGGGAAACTCACTGAAATTAATGAACATCACTAAGTTTGGTACATTAATTTCAATAGTTCAGTAGGTCTTATCTGACTAAAACTTAGTTCAATACCACCTATTGTAATGCATATCAAAGGTCTGTATTGACTGCTAATATGGCACAAGGCATATTTTGTTTGTTTATGAGTATATTTTATCATTATTACTAATTACCATGATCTGATATATTAAGGATGACATGAGTTTCCATAGTAGTCATTAGTGTCATCATCTTCCTCTGGATTGTTGTTTAATGTTCCATTAGCTGTACACTAAACAAGGGTTTCACATGTGCTACTCACACGTAGGATATATCTGTGTTGACAGTAAGGATCGGACAAATTAGTTTCTCAATTTTCTAATCTTAAGTTTACAATATAACTCAGGTGGTTAGAAAGGCCCAACAGAGACTCCATTTTCGCAGGGTCTCGTGAAAGAACAATGTTAAACAACAATTGATGACCTCCTTCTACCGGTCCGCAATCGAAAGTGTCCTCTCATATTGTATCACAGTGTGGTACGTTGGCTTGACAGCCACGGACAGAAAGTCTTTACAGAGGGTGGTGAAGCAGCACATGATATCATGGGCTGTTGCCTGAGCCCGCTAGATCGCAAGGGATCGTTGCCTTAGGAGAGCGAGAAAAATTCTCAGGGACGATTCACACCCCGGCCAAAACCTCTTTAATCTTCTACCCTTGGGCAGGAAATATAGAAGTATAATCCGTCATACCAACAGGCTAAAAAACAGATTCTATACGTGGGCTGTTAAGCTGCTGAATGAAAAATAATATAGTGCAACTGACTTTTGGGGTTGGTGTGTTGTGCAACAAGCACACAGAGTGCAATGAGATTGAGTGTTTGTGGGGGGGGAGGCTTGGTTAATTTCATTGTACACAGGTTGTACATAGACAATAAAGGTATTATTATTATTATTATTATTATTATTATTATTACTTTTCCACATTCCACCTTTTTAAAAGACCTCACAAAAATTCAGCACGACACAAACTCCCCCCTCTTTCATGCGAATAGACAGGGCTGGTAGATTCATTCTCCATGCTCTCTTCACAGTCTAAGCCAACATCTCCTACCTCACTCATTTGTGATGAGGACAGTAATGAGAAAAAACAAAACCTCCTTGACATAAAGAACAGAGGTCAGTTCCTCATCTTTAAGGTCAGGAGGCAGATGGTCCAGCCTCTTCACTGGTTTATGCCAAATGCAATTTATATTCAAATGGCCTTTCATATTTGTGTCTTTTCAAATGTTCCTTTTACTTTATTCTAACCCTCTCATTTTATCATGTTCTCAGGCATATGTCCACAACTGCCAGGAACAGTGTGCTTTCCTGTGCTATCAGGAACTTTCTCTTAAATGGCATCTGGGATTCTAACAAGTGGCTGTGGCGCTCATAAATGCGCCCCAGTGGATTCACGTAGGCTGTCTTTGAACTAGATGTTCACATAATATACTCTCCAGTATATAATAAATTTTACCTTAGAACCAACTTAGGTGTTATGCATGCAAACATGCATCTGCAAAACCACAAGGCTGCACTGGATATTGCGTCTTTCAGAAACAATGCATTAAAACATGAACATCATATGCAAATATGCATTATGTTAGGGATTTTTTTTTAGAAAAATGTGCATTGTTGGCAAAATTGCATACATGACTGTGCATTTTAGGAGTGGGGAAAACCCTCCCAAAAACCCACAAACTGATACAGAAGTGTTGAGAACTGTAAAAATAAGAAACTGAGAAAAAGTGAATTTGACAGATTCATCCATCCCTATAGATGAGAAGAAAATGTCACAGGAAGTATTTTCTCTCTGTCCCTAGGCGGAATAGTTGTGTTGAGAATCAGACCACTCTTTGGGGAAGTTTTTTTTTAAAGTATACAGCCAGAACAGGCATTTTCCAATCAGAGAGCAGACGAAATGCCAAAGAACCGGTAAAATATAGGTGCCTGCTTGGAAGGAACCTGTGGAAAGCAAACTCAATGTGTTTCAGTTTTGTTATTTTCCATCTCCAGTAAACCTGCACCTTGAAGTCATCACAGTGTTGATAACTAGGCTACGGTTCTAATGCTAGGTTTTAATTAGACCTGTTGCAAGGAACCCAGTTGCTGTGCACAGCCCAATATTTAACTAGGGTGAATACCACCTCCCCACCATGTGAGTCTATTACCTTTCTTTTCTCTTCAGTGTGTTTATGAGGAACAGATTACAGTGTTCAGATACAGCATGTTGTTGTGCGCACAGCAGGTTCACACAGCTTGTGCTGGACGGCTTTTTAATTCAGCTAGTAAGATTAAAAAATGCAAGGATGCAGAGAGAAATACCCCAGTAAACGAGAGCAGGGATAGCAAATTCTCCAGTTCTACCATGAGTACTATGCAATAGCGATGGGGGATAACTTTGATTGGGTTCACATTGAAAGTTAAGCCTACATCGTTCGCACTTTCCTAAACAATATGCAAGGTACACCACAGCTGTCTTTTGGATAGCTCAGTTGGTAGAGCAGGAGACTCTTAATCTCAGGGTTGTGGGTTTGATTCCCACATTGGGCTAAAAGATTCCAGAATTGTAGGAGGTTGGATTAGGTGATCCTCATAGTCCCTTTCTCCAGCCAAATCATGTGTACAAAAATACATTTAGAGTGTACAGTGGTACCTCGGGTTACAGACGCTTCAGGTTACAGACTCCAGTAACCCAGAAATAGTACCTCGGGTTAAGAACTTTGCTTCAGGATGAGAACAGAAATCGTGTGGCGGCAGTGGGAGGCCCCATTAGCTAAAGTGGTGCTTCAGATTAAGAACAGTTTCAGGTTAAGAACAGACCTCCAGAACAAATTAAATTCTTAACCAGAGGTACCATTGTACAAAAAAAGCATATGTTAGTAATAATAACATACAAAAACACATAATGTTAGGGAAAATTACTCTGTAAAAATGTGTATATTTCATGACAATGGATTTTTTTACTAAATAAACTAACTACCCACAAACTGACATGAATATGTGAAGGACTGAATTTAAGAATGGAGAAATAAGAACAAATTTGTCCACTCCTACTTTGTGTCAAAGGAGTGGTAGGTGCTGTGCACAGCACAGAGATTAATGTGTGTTTACTACATTTATATACTGCCTTTCTGTCAAAGCACTTTTATGGCATATGCCTGGGTGGTTCGTAATCTACTTTTAAAAGTATGAAAAGCAAAAGCGATAAAGGTCTCAGGTGCTAGGATTCAAATAGTTATAAATGATATCATTCAGTGGTGGGGTCTGGAACCAAATTTCCTGCTTCTATCTCATTTTCTAGTCCTTGGAATTTCCATAGAATGTTCCAGAGCTTATTTTCCAGTGTTTACCAGGATGGGAGCAGGTGGTGAGGATGAGTCACTGTATCTTGTCAGGAAGAAGAGATGGAGGGACAAGATGGTGGGGAAGTCAGGGTTGTGTGAGCATAGAAGATGGGCTCTGCTGAGGTGCCTGCACCACACAGACCCCGCACTTCCTTGCCCCACCCCAGCTCCCTTCCAGTTACTGGCCAGAAATTTGTTGCTGGGAGGCCAGGCGTACTGTGCTGCCCCTCCCAGGGGCGAAGGAAGGAGATCCAGCACCTGGTGCGGGGTGTCGGGGGGCGAGGCAAATTGGCCGGACGTGTGTGGTGCTGTGGGTTAAACCACAGAGCCTAGGGTTTGCCGATTGGAAGGTCGGCAGTTCGAATCCCCGCGATGGGGTGAGCTCCCGTTGCTCGGTCCCTGCTCCTGCCAACCTAGCAGTTCGAAAGCACGTCAAAGTGCACGTAGATAAATAGGTACCGCTCCGGCGTGAAGGTAAACGGCATTTCCGTGCGCTGCTCTGGTTCGCCAGAAGTGGCTTAGTAATGCTGGCCACATGACCCGAACGCTGTACGCCGGCTCCCTCGGCCAATAAAGTGAAATGAGCGCCACAACTCCAGAGTCGGCCACAACTGGACCTAATGGTCAGGGGTCCCTTTACCTTTACCTTTACATGCCCATGCACCGTACGTACGGCACATGCGTGGCACTGCTACGTAGGGTGCATGCACGCTTGCCGCTACATATGCTGCATGCGTGCGCACCGTATATAGGGCACATGCGTGGCGCCATGCGTAGTGCCGTCATGCATGCGCTGCTGGGCAGTTTGCCGATGGCGCCGCTCGAGTGCCGTATGGACGGCGGTGGAGGGTGCAGCCATTAGTGGAGGATCCCTGGCCCGCAGCTGAGGCGTGGCGATGGCGTGGTGAGCCCCCCATGGGGGTCTACTTGTCACCCCCTCAGAGATGGCACCCGGGGCGGACCACCCCCCATTCCCTTCCTCTGCCACTGGCCCCTCCTCCCTGATCACTCCTGAACCAGAGTCAATACATGAAGAGAGAAAAACAAGGTGACTAGAGCCATGGTTACTTTATTGTGGGTGAACAGGGTGAAGCGTAAATTCTATTAAGGCTTTCCCCAGTCATGCTTATGTGCCACCTATTTTCCTCTGTTGGAAAGGATTCTTGGGAGATTTTAATTGTATGAGCATCAGCTCGCTTTGGTGCAGAATTTTCAGTGCCTTGACAGTTTTCAGGAGAGAGATCTTTGGTTCCTTCCTGCTGATAGCAACATTGATTCATGTGTGGCTTGCATAGTTCATGGGAGCAGTGGCTGGACATGGTCTTGTTGTGCAACTGATCTTCACAACTCCAAGACTTTCTTACAAGACTCAGGGCAGCCCAGTGTCTTTTGAAGTTAAGGCAAATTTCTCTGCCCTTCCTAACTGGGAAGAGATGTTGGCAAACTGTTTGCCCAAGACATAGTTTTCTCTGCCTTTCACTCACTTCAGAATACAGTGGTGCCCCGCAAGACGAATGCCTCGCAAGACGAAAAACCCGCTAGACGAAAGGGTTTTCCGTTTTTCGATGCGCTTCGCAGGACGAATTTCCCTATGGGCTTGCTTCGCAAGATGAAAATGTCTTGCGAGTCTTGAGATTTTTTTCGCTTTCCCCCCCTTTTTCTAAGCCGCTAAGCCGCTAATAGCCTTTTAGCCGCTAAGCCGCTAAGCCTTTAATAGCCGCTAAACCGCTAATAGCGCTAATCCGCTAAGCCGCTAATAGGGTTGCTTCGCAAGACGAAAAAACCGCTAGACGAGGAGACTCACGGAACGGATTAATTTCGTCTTGCGAGGCACCACTGTACGAACACAATGAGCTGCCTTTTGAATGTACTTTGAAGATGCACATTACTGGATATAAGAAACCCTTTCACTCTATATAAGTTTTCTAGACCTGAAGCAGCTGTGCAAGAAAATGGTGAATGACCTTTCAGTAGCTTAGGCAGGAGACTGAACTAAAAAATATTCTTTGCCCAGGTAAGAAAGTCATGGGAAATAATACTGCACATCAGGAACTTCTTAGATGGAGAAATAAAGGGATATGGTGTAAATGCCAAGTAAAGCATGACCATAATTGAAGGGGGAAACAGGTTTGTGTATAGGAAGCTGGGAATTGTAGTTTGAGAAATCTGTGGTCATCTATTAACTAACTGTCTGGGCTCTGTACATCTTAGACATAGAAAGTATATCCTTTGTTCTTTCTCAGATGAGTGGCACCTCATTTCCTATTTTAATTGGGTGTTTATTGTGCTGTTTTTAAAGACTGTGCCTCTTATCCCAAGGTCTAAGGACAGGGAAGGTTAAACTCAATTAGAGAATGTTTCCTTGGGAAGTTACATCTCTCTTTTTTAAAATATCACAAGTCCCCTTTCTCAGCAGCCATAATGATCTATCACAGCAAAGAAAAGGAAGGTAGATTAAAATTGGAAAACGAAGAGGGCAGATTGCCTGCCTGATTACGGCAAGATTGACTTGAGTCTCCAAGTGAACCTTCGCTGCGAGACTCGCTTCTCCTTTCTGAAAACAGAGTTGCAGGGGTCTGTTTTGCCAGTGGAACCTCGGGGAGATTTTCAGCAGCTATTACATTCACAAATATTAGTTCAGAGCCAAATCCTAGGTAAAATAATGTCTGCAATTAGCATGCAGAGGCTTTCCTCTGGGCAGGGAAAGACAAGCTTGCTTGCTTGCTTGCTTTTTGTAAAAAAATACTAGGCCCTGTTCTCCATTTAAAGAGTAATAACACATGCGGTGCAATTGTCAGAGCTTGAATTGTTTGTTTTGCGAAAGGCTGTCATGTAGACTTGTCCTTGCATCAGCTGCAGAAGTTCTAGATGAGCAGCAGCTGCACATTTCTGAATGACCTTTCGGTAGCTTAGGCAGGAGACTAAGCTGATCAAAGAAAGCCAGAGCCCATATTCACCAGAGAAAAATAAAGACTTGCACTGTGTGGTTTTGTTAAATATGCTGGCCATTACTGTTGAGTATGGAAAGTGCTTGCATTTTCCCCTTTGTTGTATTATTTAACTCCATTCTGCCCAGCCTGATTTGTCAATCCCAGTGTGTTTTCAGCAGGAGTTAGAAGATGAGTTTGCACTGCACATAAATCAATAATAGTAGCTTTCACTACCTTGCACCTAATGTGCTGAGTAAATGGTTCATATATGTATATTACTGAAACAGCTGCTATAATCACTTACAAGAGTAGAGATTTCAAAGAGAAAGTATGAAAAACAGCAATAAACATAGATGCACATCTTTCAGATAAGCCTGGAATAGAAAAAAAAATCAATCTAAATCAGCAACTTTCTTAAGACTTTTTGGGGGAGAAAACAGCATGGAATTTTTTAGGACAGTGATTTCCAAACCATAGTGTCACAGGAGTGTCAGAAGCCCTGTGAGTTGGTTTTCAGAAATAGATGCTTAACAGACAGCTGTAAGAGGGTAATTTCTAAGACATGAGATGGGGTTAGTAGATAAGATCAAAGATGAGGAGTGGATCCTATTTGTAAAAGTGTTGATAACCACTATTACAGGCTTGCAATTTTCACCTGCGGTGAAGAAGAGTCCCTTGTAGCTTAGATTCTGACAAAGGGAGAAGGATTGGCTATCTAGCATATCATATCTTCATATACCATATTTCTTCTAACCTTTTGGACACACATTAGCATGATACTTAAGCCTAGTGGTAAGGATACTTTGTGGAGAGAGAAAATGTAAGTAGGAAAGTGAAAAGCTATGTTATTTTGGATATTGCAGTATGTTACCCACTCCCTTTCTGATATTCTGAATAGTAAAAGGGTAAAGGTAAAGGTACCCCTGACTGTTAGGTCCAGTCATGGACGACTCTGGGGCTGTGGCACTCATCTCACTCTATAGGCCGAGGGAGCCGGCATTTGTCCGCAGACAGCTTTCCGGGTCATGTGGCTAACATGACTAAGCCGCTTCTGGCGAGCCAGAGCAGCACACAGAAATGCCGTTTACCTTCCCGCTGGAGTGGTACCTATTTATCTACTTGCACTTTGACATGCTTTCAGACTGCTAGGTGGGCAGGAGCTGGGACCGAACAATGGGAGCTCACCCCTTCGCGGGGATTCGAACTGCCAGCCTTCCAATTGGCAAGCCCTAGGCTCTGTGGTTTAGACCACAGCACCACCCACGTCCCTCCTGAATAGTA